CAGAGGACCCAAGTTTGGGGTGTTACAGCAGACCCCAGCCCTCCAGGCTGGGGGAGGAGCGGAGTAGGCTGGGCCAACAGCCTCTGGAACCTGCTCTCCTGGCCCCTTCATCTTCTGCCCACAGCTAAGGCCAGGAGAGGTGGCAGGGCTGGACCTGGTGACAAGGCAGGAGAGAGATGGAAAGACTTGGGAGGTGACAGGAAGCAGAGTCCACAGTGTTGGGTGGAGACAAGGGAAGGACATGGAGGAGGCTGAGGCTGCAGCCCCGGCTGTGGGAGATAGAACAGAAAGTATGAGATTGCCCTGCGTGCACCGTGCAGGGGCAGAGGTTCGTGGCTGATCGGGGCAGAGATAGTGGCCTGAAGACCCCAGCAGAGTCAGCTCCTCAGCCCAGCCTGCAAACTGCCCAAAGGCAGTGCCCGGTGCTGTCAGGGAGGGGCCTCTGCCACAATTAGGCTCTTCAGCTTGCAGCGGGCTGGGCACAGCCCTTTCAGCACTTGCTTGCAATTTATAGGTGTCCCTGCAAGAGCTGCAGGCAGGAGGCCTCCCGCTGTTTACCCAGCGCTGAGGAATCTGAGGGCGGTGACAGCTCAGTCTGGCTGGAGGGGTCCAGCCAGGCACAGCAGCCGCTCAGAGGAACCTGCCTGGCCCCCGTGCCTGGCTGAGAAGGCCAGGCTCATAGCATGGCCTTGGGCCTGTCCCTGAAATTACAGATGGGAAAACAGGTTAGAATGTGAACTGTGACCGTCCCAAAGTCCCACACTGAATCTGTGCTCCAGTGAAGCCCAGAAGACAGGCTATGATGGGCAGAGCAAGAAATTCCCTTGCTGAAGAGACTTTGTGCATGGTGCTGTTTAGTGGCTCCCCCACTGGAACATTCACTCTGACAGCATAGATCTTGCAGGTCTTGTTCATGGTGATGTCTGAACATCTAAAATGTGGATCGTTGTGAATGCAGGAAGGAAGTCAAAAAGCTGGTCACATTACAGTATGTCCAGGGGAAAGGAGTGCAGACACTGGGCAGAGGCTTCTGATGGCACCAGAGTCCAGGCTCTACCCATCTCTGCACTCCTGTTGTTGTCTGAGTGTATGGCGTTTTCCCCTGATTCTAAACTGGCTGCTGTGCCTCCGGGCAGTGCACCTGCATTTCTGGCAGGAAGAAGAGATTTAAGACAATGGCTAGAAGGCATGTACTCGTGGGACCTGTCCCCTTTAGATCAGAAAAGCTAGTTTCCTAGAAATTCCTGAATAGCACCTTGGCTAAAGCATTCTCTGCCTTGCTCTTTAATTTTAATCTCTCCTAAGGGCATGACCTATCGCTTGTTTGGCTGGTTTTATTGTTGTTTTTATTTGATTACTTACACAGAAACCTGAATCTGAGAGGAAAGGCCCTTTTACCACCAACCTCCTGGGGGGCCTGGACCAAAGAAGTTCTGTCCCAGGGTGGGGCTATCAATTGGAGAGGGAGCCGCCAGAGGTTGGGTTTCACAGGGTCACCCTCTGGCCCTCCCAGCAACCCTGGGCAGGGTGTGATAAACAGAATGAGACCAGGGCCAGGTGGGGAGCTGGCTTTCCCAATGCTCTGCTCCCTCGGAGCAGTGCTGGCTACACTATGGCTTCAAATGCTGCACTCTGTCTGTTCCCAGAACTGATTTGTACCCCAGGGCCTTGGCATGGCTCTTCTGGTCATTTATAGCCCATGTCCCCTCCCAGCCCTGGTGGCATTCCCCTGGGGCCACCTACTGCAGAACACGAGGCAGCATGGATGAGTGGAGGGTATGACTGTGCCCTGCAAGCCACCCCCTTAGCACTGCCAGGCTGAGAATGACAGCCTCAGTGCAGGGCCCTTGGAGGGCCTGGCTGTCACTGGTCCAGACCTAGAGGCTGTCCTTGTGTTGGTCCACAGGATGGGGTGGTCAGCAGCTGCAGTGGCTGTGTGAGCCAGCTCCAGGGGAGTGGCTGGAGGTAGGAGACAGGGAAGGAGAGGGTTGTAGTTTCATTCATTTTCCAGGACCTTGGCCTTGGCCTGCAGGTCCATCTACACCTCAGGCCAGAGTGTGAGGTGCAGGCAGTCGGGAGGGAGTCACAGGCCTTCGCCAGGCAGCAAGAAAACTTGCAGCAGGGAGAGAACCTTGATGCATCCCTGGGCTGCCCTCAGCCTCATCCCTTCCAAACCACTGTCCCCGAGGAGGATCTGCTTCTCCAAGGCTCTCCTGCTGACCCGCTGTGTGTCCTGCGGCAGGCCACTGAACCCTGCTCCAGCACTCAACACTTCCCCTTTCGTCCTCCTGGCTTGGGGCAGGGGAAGCTCCCTTGGGAAAGGGCTTGGCTGAGACAGAAATAATCCCAGCAACAATCACAATCAAAATAGTCCCCATTGTGCAGACCAGCTGTGACCCCAAGCCTCCCAAATGCCTTATCTGGACCAATTGAAAAGACGCATGACCCCCACTCTTTGTTTAAACATGAAACCTGGCAGAGTAGGGAGTTCTATTTTTACTTCCAGGCTGGTGGGTGGGGAGGGAAGTTCCAACAACGAACGAGAATAAGTAATTCTGCCTTTGAGGAAACCAAGATGAAGGTTTAAATATTAATATGCTCCAGCAGGAGACAATGGGGCAGAGCAGTGGAGATGACTTTTCAGGATATAGGAGTCACCCTTATAACTGAGGGGTCTTAGAAGACTCTTGGCTCAGAAACACCATTTGTTGAGGTCCTGAGTTCAATTTCTGAACAACAACAACAACAGAAATACCGTTAACAAGGTCAGCTTCCCAGGCAGGTTTGACTCAGGCCTATTGTGGCTGTGCAAACGGGGCGGTTCTTTCTCAGACAGATGAGTCTGATGGGTCTGCATTTCTCAGGACTTCTCCGAAAGGAGGGTGTAGAATGCTGGAGCTGGGTATGGGGGTGCACACCTGTGATCCCAGCACTCTGAGAGGCTGAGGAAGAAGGATCACAAACTCAAGCTCAGTTTGGGCAATTTAGAACTTGGTGAAATCCTGTCCTACAATAAAAAATGAAAAGGGCTGGGGATTAGCTCAGTGCAAAGGCCCTGGGCTGCATCCCCAGCAGCTCAGAGCATGTGATTTGTAACGAAAAGAACAAAGTGCGAATATGGGGGTGATTGCGGTTCTGCCCCTCAGTGTGTATGTTCGTATTTGAGCCTCACCCAGGAGGCGGGTGTTAGCCTCATCTGCTCTTTGTACAGGAAGGGACTGAGGTCCCGAGAAGCTCACAGCTTGATTGGTGTATGCAGTGAGGAAGCCGCAGGCTGCATTTGTGTGGGAGGGACCGGGGTCTCCGTGGAGGGTGTTTGGGGCTCCAGCCGCTGTAGACATTTCCTATCGCTACTCAAACAAATGATCATACACAACACACAAAAAATTGTTTTTGTTTTTTGTTTTTTGAGGTAGGGTCTCACTATGTAGTTTAGGCTGGTCCAGAACTCACTGTGTAGCCCAGGCTGGCCTCAAACTCATGGTGATCCTCCTGTCTCAGCTTCCTGGGTGCCACCATGCTCAGTCCACAGTACACATTTATTTTACAGTTCTGGAGTCCAGAAGCCCAAAATGGTTCTCTGTAAGCTAAAATCAAGCTTTTAGAAGAAAATTCCATCCCCTGACCTTTTCAAAAGCTTCTAGAAGTCATGTATTTCTTGGTGTATGGCCTCTTCCTCCATCTTGAGGGCCAGCAGTGTGGCATCTTCTGATCTCTCCCAAGGAAACCAAAATAGATTCCTCATCTTGAGACCTTGAATTTACTCAGTCCGATGAGGTTCCTTTGCCCTGTGAGATCATGGACATGACCATATACCACAGGTTTCAGGTACTAGGAGAAGGATGTGTGTGTGTGTGTGTGCGCGTGCGTGTGTGCGTGCGTGCGTGTGTGTGTGTGTGTGTGTGTGTGTGTGCGCGCGTGTGTGTGTGTGTGGGTGGGTGTGTGTGTGTGTGTAAGGATGGGGTGCTTTATCTTGAGTACTGCAGTGGCTCTGGCTAAAAGCTCCTACTTTTGGGATAACAGTCATGCACTGCTCAGGGAGTTGTGGGGAGACCAAGCCTGTGTTCACAGGGACTGAGCAGGGGCCCAGCAGGTTACCTACATGTGCTGCAGGCTGGGTTCAAATCCCAGCTCTGTCTCTGCCGATGGCCCCGAATAGTGAAGGGAGAGGAGGGAGGAAACAAACAGATGCACCTGTGTGACCTGATTTCATCTTTACTGCAGCCTTGCGGCAGACTCCTGCCCCCTCACTTAGCAAATGTGGAAACAATCGCTCAGAGAGATCAAGTGGCTTTCCTGAGATCACACAGCTACTCAGCAGAGAGCTGGGTTTCCGAGGATTGTGATCCTCAAGCCAGTGATGCCCGCTCTACCTCCGTGGCTGTCTGCCACATCTGTGTGCATGCTAAGATTTCTTAGTATTTTCTTTAAATTAGCTTACTACCTTTTAGTTTAATTATATCTGTTTGAAAATGAAACTATATTATTCCTGTAAGTGGAAAAATCACAGAATTCATGGGATATATATATATATATTTCTAAGGTACATTAAAATAAATTTATTATTATCAAATGAAAAAACGTTCTTTTTTTTTTTTTTTTTTTTTTTTTGAGACAGGATCTTACTGGCCTTGAACTCACAATGTAGCCCAGGCTGGCCTCAAACTCACAGCCATCCTCCTGCCTCAGCTTCTGTGGTTCCGGGATTACAGGTGTGTGCCACCATGCCTGACTCTTTATCTTGATACAGGTTTGGCTGCCATCTGGCTTCCAAGGTGCTGGTGAAGGTCCTGAACGGGTGACCCTGTGTAACCCAGCCCCGGCTAGGGTGAGTGTTGAGGGTTAGGCTCTGTCCTCCCCTGGCCCCCTGAGGTGGCAGAGGCCCTGCGGAGCTCTCTGAGGCAGCTGTGGTTCTTCCCCCCCTCACCCTCTTCCCCACCACCCCACCCAGCTGTGACGCCTGTGCCCCTGCTGTCTGGGGCAGGGCGGAAGTAAGGCGGGTAGCCGGCAGCTTCCCCTTTTCTGCCTAGCTCTGGGCGCTGGCTCCTTCCCCTCAGCGCCTCAGAGGAGGGGACGCAGCACCATGGCTCCCCGAGCAGCCCCCGTCCGCCAGATCTGCTGCTGCTTCAATGTCAGGATCGCCACCACTGCCCTGGCCATCTACCATGTGGTGAGTGTGTGGCCAGCCAGGAGCTGTGTGCATGTGTGTGAGAGACCCCTAACCTGCCGAGCCTCTCCAGTGGAGGACTGCCACCTTCACCTCCCCAGGGGACTCTGGACAAATCCTTTCCTGCTTCGAGTCTCAGTTTCCCCCTCTGTCAGATGGGGAAGGAACGCAACAGAGCAAGGTGGAGGAAAAGCTTTCCGGGCCAGTGTAACTCGCCTTCCCTCTGAGACTCGGTTCTTGCCTCAATCAAATGGAGCAGAATGGCAGCTCCAGGGGCATCAAAGCTGCAGCGGCAGGTGTGAAAGTGCTTTGAGGCGAGGATCTGGGAGGAATGCGGCAGGGCTTCAAGACTGTGCCTCAGACCCAGGTCTGAGTCCTTCCTCCAGGGCTAGACAGGCTTAGCTGCTCTGAGGGTAACATCTTTTCTTTGTGCGCTCACTGGGAGGCAGGAGGCTGAGCCCTCGTTCCTCTCAGTCCAGCCAAGCTCTGGTCTCCCCCCAACCAAGAAAACTTGAGATCCTTGCAGAAATGTAGGGTGACTGCCCAGCCCCAGCTCCCCCGGACCAAAAGGGTGCGGCTCCAGGGGTTCCGCTTTGGGGGATGGTGTGGCTTTTGTCTCCTGTCATCTCAGTGTGCCCCTGGCAAGTTACAGGGTCAGGTTAAGGTTCTCCACTGGACTCTGATGGCAGAAGGTCAGGGTCCCTGTTGTATTCTAGACCCACACCCCATCCCCAACTCTTGGCCACACGCAGCTGCCCCAGGCCCAAGCGTCCTCTTGCTAGGGCTGCTCAGAGCCTGTGGCTAACAGTTCAGGGGTCTGGAAGGGCTTCCTCAAATGAGCCCAAAGCAGCAGGCTGCGGTGGGCTGCTGCAGACTGCTGAGAGCTGACTGCATTTGCTTCTGGTCACAAGTAAGGTGACCAGGGCAGTGTCAGGAGTGAGCCTTCGTGAGCTACCGCCACTCAGAAGTAACAGAAGCCTTTGGATCCAGACTCCAGGGTACCAGCTCTGGCTTCCTTGTTTCTTAGCTGTGTGGCCCTGGTAACTTACTAAACCTCTCTGAGCCTGTTACCTCATCTAGAAATTAATGCCTGTCTGATAGGGTTGTTGAGAAGATTGAAGAGTTAATACAAAGCACATAGAACAGTGTTTGGCACACAGTGAGCGCTCTACTAGGTGTGTCACACGTGCCACCAGTCACTGATGCACTTGGACCCAGGCTGTCAGGTCCCAGGATGCCAGTTTGAGGAGGAGCTCGGTTCCTGCCAACGTAAGACCTGAGATGCATATGATGCCTTGCCTGCCCCTACATGAAGTCCTTTGGGCCTTCAACCCCTGGATGTGCAGCACACTTAGAAGGACAGTGTGGTGGGCAGAGATGTACCTGCAGAAGGTTCCTGGGTCCTTACCCAGCTCTGCCTCTAACTGTCTGCATGGTGTTGGACAATCCTATCTCTCAGCCTGGTTTCCCTTCAGAGGTTTTTGGGGGGTGTTTAAGGGTTTGCTGCACAGGGTGTCAGAGGTGGTGGCCTTCAGAGTTCAGGCAGATCACATGAGTGCTTGGGTGGGCAGAGGGATCTGCACAGGCTCTCTCTCCGTGCATCCTGGTGGCCCTTCTGTTTGTGGCACTTCTGACTTGTGGAGCAGTAGGAAGCTGGCTTGCATGTCTCAGCTGCTGATGCTTCAGTGCCAGTGACCAGTTCCAGGTGAACGTCCCCCTGCGTAGATACCCCTGCAGAGCTCCTATCCCACTGGAGAGAGTTCTCACCTATGGGCTTTGCAGGTTGAGCAATGTACAGTCCTCATGCACGGAGCTGCTGGCCACAGCCGAGTGATCGGGGACACACCTTGGAGCTGGCACAGTGGGCCAGTGGTGCAGTCTGACCAAGAAGGTGTGGACAGGGGAGGAGAAACGGTGTGCAAAGGGGGTGTGTGTGGCACTTGTGCAGGGGCTACTGCAGAGACCAGCTGGAAGCTGGAGGAAGAGGAGATGACAAGGGCTGTGGTGCAAGCCAAGAACCTGAATCCCCCCCTAGTGCATCACTGTCATTTGGACAGTCACTATGTGTGCAGGAAGTTGAGCAACACCTATGGCCTTCGCCCACCAGATGCCAATAGCACTGCCCCCACCTGCCACCTGTGTCCCTAGATCAGGAGCACAATGTCTCCTAGCGGAGAATCGCTGACTATAATGTGAATCATGGAAAGCTGAGGAATGTTCTAGGGCCAGAGAGGGCATAAGAACAGAAGAGTAGCCTGGAAGTGGACACAGGCCCAGCTGGCCATCCCTGGGCTGGGATCTTTGGCTGACTCCAGTGGGGGCTTATCTTCCTATCGTCTTGGTGAGAGGCCCCTGCTCCTTCCCCGAAAGGGAGGGGGCTGGGGGCTTTCCCGCAGCCCAGCCATGGGGTGCCAGCTGTACTGACAAGACCTTGAACATCTGCACGGTAAGCGACGCCACCATGCAGATGTGTCAATTGCCTAGGTTGGCCGTCATCTGGAGCCAGCCATGGGTGACGGCTCTGTGTGCTGTGAGCTATTTGTGGATGTGTCAAACTCTCTGGGGAGGCTTAAATTGGGCCCTTGACGTCCCGGGAGAGGGCCACGTTTTGCCGAGCTGTGGGGACGTTATTACGAGAAGTGGCTTTTGGGCCCAGCAGGGAAACCAGTCCCTTGGCTTCTGGCTCCGGGGGCTGGAATCTTGCTAGACTTCAGGGTACCTCACATAAAGGAAGTTGGGAGGCTCTTAGTCCTGTCTGGTTATCAGCCTCAAGTGCCCTTCTTTGGTGGCAGGAGCCCCAGTGGACCCTTTCACCTGGAAATCTCTCCCTCCCTGGCCTCTCCTACCTTGTGCTCTCGGAATTGCATCATAGAAATTCATATCAGGGTAAAAACTTACACCTGCTGTGATAAAAAGAGAACCTAGATTTCATCTGTAGAAACAGGATATGTCAGAACCAAGCGAGGAGGAAATGCATAACGCTAACGCTGTCTCTGGGCTGTGATCTTGAATGCTCTGCTTTCCAACACTTTCTCTCTTTGGTGCCAAAGACAAGTACTATTGGCTGGGTGTGATGGTGCACACCTGTGATCCCAGCACTTGGGTGTCTGACGCAAGAGGATTACCGAGAGTTCGAGGCCAGCCTGAGCTACACAGCAAGACCCTGTCTCAAAAAAAACCCAACCCAAACCAAACCAAACCATATCTACTGTGTGTGTGTGCGTGTGCGTGTGTATGTGCGTGTGCATGTGTGTGTGTGTGTGTGTGTGTGTTGCATGTTCCTGGAAATCAGACCCAGGGCCTTCCCACCGAGCTACATCTGCATTCTCAGCCCTTTTAATTTTGAGCTAGAGTCTTGCTAGGTGACTAAATTGCCCTGTAGTCCTCTCCTGCCTCAGCCTTCCAGAGTGCTACGTCTATAGGTATGAACCGACCACTGTGCCTGGCCACGTTGTCCTACTTTTCAAAGTAAACTATTCATGTTTAGTGCTGTCTTGGATTCCGGGAAACATTGCGAATGGAGTACAGAAAGCCCCTCACCCTTAGGACCACTGTTAATGGCGCAGTTGCCATAACTGGTTGCTGTCTAGTGCTCATGCCTCACCCTCATCCCTTGGCTTTCCTGAAATACTTTCCAGCCCAGGACCCCACCCAGGGCCCCCCAGGGGACATTCATTACATGAGTCCCCTGCCTTCTTAGCTCCATCTGTGCAGTTCGGTTTCTCCATGCTCTTGTTCCTGGAGACCCTGATGGTTTCAAGGCCCGCTGGTGGGGTGTTTGTTGATTATTGGTCATGGGGCCTTTGTCTGGTGGTTTTCTTGTGATGAGACTGGGATTCTGTGCATTTGGGTTTTTGTTTGTATCTTTGTTTGTTCGGGACAGGGTCTCCCTGTGTAGTTCAGCCCGGCCTTGAACTCAGTGTGTAGCCCAGGTGGGTTTGAACTCAAGGTGATCCTCTTACCTCAGCCTTGCATGCTGGGATTACAAGTGTGCGCCACCACACCTGCACATCATGTGCTTTTGGGAGGAAGAATGGGGGCATGGATGCCAGGCCCAGCCTGGCGGGATCGTACCAGGCGTGGTGACCCTGCTGCCGGGCTGAGGGAGCCTTTGTCAGAGGTCCCCACTACTTACCCTTTGCCCTGCCTTGCTGTGCTTGGAGATCCCCGCACAGCCCGCCGGGGAGCACAGGAGCGGTGTCTGCCTCCTTGAGAAGCTGCGTGGGTTCCGGGGGCTCCTCACGGGTGGGAGGGAGCTCATTTGCTCTCTCCACTTCCCAAGTCCCCAGATGATACCTTTTTTGGAGGAACTCATGGGTATTTATTTATTTACACACTGCTGGGAATTGAACTCAGGAACTTGGCACTGAGCTGCATCCCCAGCCCTTTGTTTTTGTTTTGAGACAGAGCCCCCTAAATTGCCCAGGTTGGGTTGTAACTCTTTTATATTTTATTATATTTTTGGAGACAGAGTCACGCTGCCTTGAACTCACTCTGTAACCTGGGCTGACCTTGAACTCTGCATCGATCCTCTTGCCTTAGCCTCCAGAGTGCCAGGGTTACAGGTGTACAGCACTTTGCCTGGCAGGCTGGAACACTTGGCCCTCCTGTCTCAGTCTCCCCGTGCGCTGAGATTATAGGTGTGTGTCACCATGCCCAGCTTATTAATTTCATGGTTGTTGCAATTTTAGGCTGATTTATCTTGTTGCTCAAATGCTCTGCTTTTCAAATTCGGAAGAGCAATGGAGCCCAGTACTCCTAGAGAGGTTGCACTGTGTTATGAGCTGTGCCTTAGATCAGCTCTGGGCCAGGAGGTGGCTGACTCCTCTCCTTCTGTCTGATCCTTGAGGGCCCCAGTCTGACCCGGAAAGCTATGACAGTGTGACAGATGACACTGCTGGCTGCCGCGGGGCACTGGATGGAGGGGGTTCAGGGAAGGCTTCCCAGAGGAGGTGTCACTCCCAAGGGTGAGCAGGATTCGAGTTTCTGTGTTGGGTAAGGCGCACCCCAGGTGGAGGGGCAGCATGGGCCAAGGCTAGGAGGTGGACAGGCGGCGGTGGGGTTTGGAGAAGCCGGGAGGTGCATCGAGCTGGCTCAGGAGGGATGCCCCAGGTGTGGGCTTCACAGCTACAAAGAGAGATCATGCTCAATTTAGTGGTGAGAAAGCAGGACCTGCGGAAGGCCCACAGGAGGCTGCCTCGGGTGGGTGAAATGAACAAGAAGTGGACAGAAGCTTCCTTTCTGAGCCCGGGCTGGGCTTCCCGACTGTCCAGGCTGCCCTTTCCTCATCTGGTTTCCCAGCATTCATGTTATCTGCGGTCCATCTCAGGGGAAGCCTCTGCCTCCAGATTCCTTCCTGACTTGTCCTTCTCAGAACTCTTGGGGTCCTTCTCTGCCCCCCTTTAGAAGCAGAGGCTGAAAAGAACAAAAGTCCATCTCCATCACTCAATGGCCATGTGATTCTGAGGTGACCAGTGCCTGTGTTGCGTGGGCCTCAGTTTTTCCATCTGTTAAATGAGGCTGTGAACCCTGCCTCAAGGCAGGGAGGCATGGAGCTGAGTGGCCCTGGTGCGTGGGGGCCGGGAGTCGGCTGCAGGGGGCCCTCCTCTTTTGAAAGCTGGTCTGTTTGAGCCCTTAAAATGGATCCTTGGAGGGTCCTCTGGTGAGGGTCTTTGGAAACCTGCCATCTTCATGTGTGAGGTCTCTGGCTGGACAGAGGCCTGGTTCTTTACCCCAGCTGTTGTGTGTCCTCCTCAGTGCATAGCCAAGGGCCTCGCTGGGACTGTTTTGTAGCCCATCCTCCACTGACACAGGACTCTTGAAGAAGCTGTGCCCATGGGACCCAGGATGCTCTGAGGGGCAAGGACAGAGTTGGACCCTTAATGTTACATGATGCTCAGGGGCCTGTGAGAGTGGTCACTCTGCTGTGGGACCCAAATTAGGACAGGTCAGAGCCCAGCCTGGGCACCATTTCCTCCAGCTCAGGTCTCAGGCTCAAGCCCGGGTACTTCTGGGAGCAGCACAAGGTGGTGGCTCCAGAGGTTGGGGTCACCTTAGTTGCTGTCCGAGGGGCATCAGCCTAAGGGGTCCCCAAAGTGAAGCTTGGGATCTCTGGATGTGCCCCTGCTGGGGGACTGGAGCGGGGCAGGCCAAGGCTGCCGTGTGACTGCCTGGGCCTGAGCACCCCAGGAAATGAGGCCGAGCAGTGGCTTGGAACTGGGACGTTGCTCTGAGCTCACTGTGAGGCCAGCGTTGGTCTCCCAGGGGACCCCACCCTGCCTGAAAGGGGACACAGAGCCCCGTGAGGCAGGAAGCAGAGCGACAGCTGCTCAGGAGTGGCCAGGACAACACTGTGGTCTCAGTTTCCTCCCTGTCACGTAGGGTCAGCCCCCTCCCAACCTTTGTGAGCATTTCCAGGGTACAGAGGAGGAAACCAAGGCTCCAGGGGCTGAGCAACCTTGCAGATGGTGGTAGATGAAGAACCAAACCCGTGGTCTTGCTCTAGAAGGACAGGGGAGGGGTTGTGTTCACTGGGAGGCCTGTCCTCGTAAGCCGCACCCACATCTGCAGATGTTCCTTTCACCTGTCAAACAGGAGGTGGGCTAACACAGAAGCTGCCTCCGATGGCATCTCTCAGAGGCGCGGGAACAACAGGAGCAGCAGCTCTCATCATCACGATGGTGGATCTTTCTCTCAAGATCCCTGGGGAGGCCATGATGGGAATGGTTTGGTGGATGGGGATTCGGAAAGTGGAGGGTGACTAGGCCTTGGGCTGAGCCTGGAGACCAACTCTGAGTTCCCAAATGGCTGCCCCTAAAGAGAGATTTGATGACCTCCTTCCGTGGGTGTCTGTGCTCTTCCCTGGGCTGGGGGCCTCTACCCAGTCCCCTGAGCCTGCCTGGGGTGGGGACTACCTCTCTGTCCTCTCTCCCAGGGGCAGGCTTGCTGGGAGTGCACGACACTGGGCTGGCTTTCCCAGAGCCCTGGGCTGGAGCTGGCTGCTGGGCTTCAGGTGCAGTTAGACCCATTCTACAGATGGCAAATTGTGTCAAGCCCCATTGGCACTGCTATGCTCCGTGGGTCTCAGGGCCTTTGCACACACTGTTGATCTTACCATGCCAGAGTTCCCAGCTGTGGACCTGTGTGTCTCCAGCCACTCCTATATTCTTTCCACTCACCCCACCACACACCTGCTACCATTTATCAGGGGCATATTTTATGCCTGGCACACAAATGACCCTGAATGCTGTTCACCAAAAGGAGAGTCTCACAGTTTCCTGGGTGCTCATGCCATTTGCTCTACCTGACACCATTCCCAGTGTTTTGGGAGAAATCTGGAAGGCTTGCTTCCGGTGAGAACCCTTCCCTGAACCCCTCCCCACTGTATTCCTCCTCAGAGCCCCCAGGTCCTGTAGCAGGTATCTGCAAATATTTAACTCGGGCATCTTTTACCTATGGAGGCATGCAGTTCCCCCAAGGGCACACCTCAAGGGCTGCTTACCAAGGAAGCACGCCCAGGAGCCTCAGCCAGGACCGAGACCCCAGACAGGCCCAGCAGTGAGGACCAAGCGCGGCTCCTCGTCGCTCCCCAGCTCCTCTGCCTGCGACCTCCAGCTCGGAGCACCGGCAGCTGCAGAGTCCCACGCATGCAGCTTCTTTCTCGGCAGTGCACGCAGGGCTGCACCGTACAGCGTAGGCAGCTCTGTTCTCTCGCTGTGGGGCAGCATTTCAGGGCATGAGCTGGCCAGGATGAGTTGCATGCTTCCCTGCAGAAGGGTGTTGGGCTGTGACAAATGGGGCCTGGCCCCTGGCCCTGTGTTGGTGCCCACATGCCAGCCTGTCTTTCTGAATCACCGTCTTCAGCAGTAGATAGATGTCACCTAGGCATTCCTCATGGCACTGTCCCGGGTGGATGGCTTTTTCTTTCTCTCCTACAGCTGGGAAAACTGAGAAACTGAGGCAGAGAAGTAAAATGGCTTGGTGAGAGCCATGTAAGGCTTGGGGAGGTGGCACTGGGGGCTTTTTTTTTCTTTTTGAGAAAGAGTCTTGCTAGTCAGGCTGCCCTCGAGCTCACTATAGCCCAGGCTGACCTCGAACTCAGCCATCTTGCCTCACCTCCCGGGAACTGGGATTGCAGTGTGTGCAGCACCGTGCCTGACCGTGGACTGGGCCCTCACAGGTCTGTGAGTCTAGGCAGAGGAGGAGACAGTTACACGGGGAGGGTGTGGAGGATGAGGGGCCCGCGATAAGGAGGTGAAGGCAGTTGGCTGGTTGCAGCTGAGGGTGTCACCCCGGGACAGGGGGGTCTCGATGCTATCTGGGCTCGGCAGAGAGGGAGCTGGGGAGATAGCAGTGGGGGAACGGCCCCACCATCGCCTCTGATAAGCTGGGACAGGAAGTGTGGGTGGGGGAGAAGGGTTTCCTCTCCCTGCTGACGCATCAGACTGTCATTTGCCTCCTTTTCCCAGGCAACTCTGGGGACCTAAGGAAATGGGGACAGGTGAGGAGGAGCTGATAACAACCAACTAGCATAACGGCCTCGGTGTGTGGCAGCCTAGGCGCCCCCAGAAGGCACCCAGGGGCAAGGTGGGCAGCCCCGAGATTAGCGACAGGAAGGGGTGCACACTGTGTTATCGTGGGGGAGGGTGAGGCAGGCCGCTGCCCCAGGTCACGCAGCAGAGCCCCTGCCTCGAGGACAGCGAGGAGCCACCGTAAAGGGGACAGGTGGGGAAGGCCCTGCACAGAGCTCAGATTTAACCCTGAGACTCTCGGGAGGTGGAGGGTTTCCCCTGCTTCCTCTGAGACTGGAGTGAGTGTGTCCAGGGTGGGACTGGGTGAGCTCGTCCTGTCCTCCTCAGAGGGAGTAGAGTTGGGGCGGTCTGATATCACCACCCACCCTTGTGATCTCCATCCTCACCATCCCACCGCGTCCCCACCATCGTGACCCCACCAGTGTCATCAGTGTCACTATCGCATCATGTGCCCCTGCGGTGAATTGGGCTTCATCCTGGGAGGACGAGGGTGTCTCTTTCCACTGCCACCTCCCCTGCCAGGTTTGCCCTCATCTTGCCATCACCAGCTACCTCCAATGCCACCCTGGTCACCTCTGTCAGGCCACATCAGCTCCAGCAATGTCACACAGCTTTCTTCTCCAGGACAGTCACGATTGCCTGTCTCCTGCCCAACACTTCCCTCCGTTTATCAGCCCGACTGTCACCCTGGCCAAGCTCAGTGTCACCCAGTCCCATCATCCCCACCGTTTGTCCCCTCCTGCATGATCCCTGCCCTTTTGAGCTCAAGCTGCGGGTTGCACCGCAGAGCTACCAGCAAAGAAACCACGTCTCCTGTCCCCTGAGTCATTTCCGCCCCTGCTCAGCTTAGGGAAGCGGAATGGGGAATTGAGACCCAGGAGGAGCAGAGGAATGGGTGAAAAAGGGGAATGGAGAGTGGACTGGAGAGGGCAGGGCTGAGGGGGCTGGGTGGCCACTGTGAAGCTGGAGGGCTGAGCAGGTTGTGACTGAGCTGGGTGACTGGGAGCTAGCTGATCTCTGTCTCTCTCTGGGCCTCACTTCCCCGCGGGTAGTGTCCCCTTTCTCAGAGAAGAGACAGCTTTCCCTGGGGGATATGACATATCTGTACAGTTAGGCCCCTGGGCCTTTGCACAGGATGCTGCCACTTCCTGGATGCTCTCTTTTCTGTTGGAAAGCTCCTACTTCCAGAGCATGCTCTGTTTACACCTTGGCGTCCCCTGGAGACTGACACCTGCGGACCAGCGTGGGTGGCTAATCTAGACGGACGGAAGCAGTAGGAGCTTAGAGTGTTTCTGGGTGTAAACGAGGCCCATGCAGCAGGAGGCTGCTGCTCCTCAGGGCTGGCTCACGACACCTGTCCTGCCCTTTCACCTCCCACAAATGTGGGGCCAAGGCGGGTCTGGTGATCACCCCCAGTCCCTGGGTGAAAAGCCTGAGGCCCAGAGAGGTTAGTGGCTGACTCAGGAGTGCAGAGCTTGGGTTGGGCCCAGGGCCATCTGATTCCAGCCCCCAGCTGTAAGGCACAGTGGCTCCCATCAGGGAAGGAGCAGGGGCAAGTTGATGGAGGAGGCTGTCTGGATATCATGGAGGGGAGAGGCCTGGTCCTCATGACAGGATGGCTGGAAACCCCAACTTGGGGCTCTGGGCCTCTCCCTAGGTCTGGATCTGCTTGAGGCTTGGAGGAACCACACTGTCTTCTAATGGGGAGGGCTCAGCTTGGTGGCTGGGTGAGTGGGAGGCCCCAGCAGCCTGTGTGTGATGTCCCACGTGTAGGGAGCTCTAGCCTCATGACCTCTGTTGTGCAGTGGTCCTGGGTGCAGGTAGAGGTAACTCTTCCTCCAGGGAAACTGAGCCCTCCTGGCCCCTGCCATTGTCCCTGGACCTCTTAGTGTCCAACATGGGGGTGGCTGCTGTGGGGAGAGGACAAGTGGCTGTGAGGATCTCTGGCTGGGGAGCAGAGGCAGCAGGGTCCCCATGGTCACCAGCCGGGTGAGGCAGGGAGTAGCTGGGCTCAGCCTCTGGCCCTCAGCCTGGTTGGTGCACAGGTCAGAGCACAGGAGTCGGCTTCTCTCCACCCCCACTTGGGACTGGGGGTGCAGACGCTGAGCCTCTCCTTTCCCAGGGCAGGACTGGCTCTTGAGCTGAGGCTGGGGGAGGTTTTGAGGCCACCTTGTTTGTGGCCTTGGGCTGGTCGCTGCCCTCTGTGGGGGTATGAGCCTGCCCAGGACTGCTGAGAAGGGGAAGCAGGGTGGAAGGAGGCTGGGCCAGGCACGCTCTCAGGCTTCTGCGGGAGAGAGGCGCGCTGTGACTCACCTTGGGAGCGGGCTGGGGACAGGCGGGGAGCCGAGGGGGAGGGCTGCCGGGCAGGCAGTGCAGGGCTGGGGACACTGACTTGGCTGGGAATCCTGAATCCGAGTCCAGTCTGAGAGAGGGTTGGCTGGGAGGCTGTGGAAGCCCAGGACCTCTCAGGGGCTCATGGCCTCAGCCATGAAGACGGGTCGGGATGATGAAGCCCAGTCTCTGGCTGGTTGACCCCAAGTCCCTTGGATGAAGTTAGACTGTGCCAAGCCCTCTCCAACCCCTTCCAGGATCACCAGCCAGAGGATCTTATAAAACAATGGAGGGAGGCCCCTTCTAGAAGCGGAAGTTGATGTTGTCTGATTCTGAGCTTTGCTCACCTCAGTGATAGTCCTGGGTTCCTGTAGCTTCAAAGGTCTCCTCATGATGCACCTGGAGATGCACACATTCCCTTTCTAAGCTGAGTGGCGACTCATCTGTGCTCTGCTTCCATAGCCCCAGTGACGGGGAGCTCACCACCTCGCAGGGCGACTACTTCTGACTGGGGCTGAACTACCATCTGCCTCTCCTTCCCTTTCTCTCGTTAGGGTGAAACTGGGAGGAGAGGAGCCGGGGCTTCCACCCCTGGAGCTAAGGGAGTGGCTTTTGTCTCCAGGCTGCTTCCTGAGGGCACAGTGCACCTGGCTCCTGTGAGCAGAGCCTTCCTGGTGCCGCTGTCGGGGAGGGGCTGCCGGCGTGAGCCCTGCTCAGCGGCTCCCGCAAACCCCCAGCAGCAAAATCGGTTCTGTCTTCTGGTGCCTGAGCTCAGCGCACTCCTGGGCGTGGCCCTTCCCAGAGAAAACTCAGGCAGGTAAAGCGACTTGCCCAAGGCCACACAGTGAGCTGAGTTCAAATCCATCTCCATGGGACTCCAGAGCCGGTCCCATCTGTCTTCTGTGCAGGGTCTTTCAGAACCTGAACAGGAAGTACCATGGCAGGAAGATAAATCAAGACCTGTGTCTGAGATACAAAAGAAAAGAAAGAAAGAAAAACCCACGTGGTCCATTAGGGGAAACAGACGGTGGTTGTCAGCTGAGCCTGAGTTGCCAGTACAAGGCCACCTAAAAAGCCAATGTAGACTGGGCTCTATTAATAAAGGTAGAGTGCCCACTCCAAGGGAGGGGATAATCACCTCAGGGGCCAGATGAGGTTGTCCACTGTGATCCAGGAACAGGTGCTCTTCAGGGCCACCTAAGGCTGTGCTGATGGCTGCAAGGGTACTGAGTTCCATAAGGCTCAGGTGTCAGAGCCTGGCGTTATTACAGGGCCAGATGGCCCATCAAGATTCAAACAGTCCTTCCCAAGGACCAGGCCTGACTCTGAGTCTCTTCAACAGAGACTCCTACGCTAGCTACTAGAATTAGCCCCATTTTGCAGATGGGGAAACAAAGGCACAGAGAAGTCAAGTAATTTGCCCGAGGTAACACAGCCAGGAAGCTGAAGGACCAGGGTGATAAGTGGGAGCTGTCCCTCAGTCTAAGCCACTTTCTTGGGACTTCCCACCTCCCCAAACTCCTGAGTGCAGGCGCTGACAGTGCTGTGTTCTGTCCCCAGGTCATGAGTGTCCTGCTGTTCATTGAGCATGCGGTGGAGGTGTCGCACGGCAAGGCCTCCTGCAGGCTCCCTAAGACTCTCTACCTCCGGATCGGTAGGGCCTGGCTGGGGCAGGAGGCTGGGTCTGGTCCTGCCCGCTGGGTGGCCCCTCTCTTCTCCCAGGGGGAAGTGGGAGCTCCTCTGGCCCTGTGGCCTCCCTGACTGCGGCTCCTCTCTGACACCTCGCTCCAGCCCTGCTGCCCACCCTGGCCTCAGCCCCTGTCACCTGCAGTCCTGTCACTCACGGGCCACTCCTCCAGGCCACCTGCCCCGACCTCCCTCCCGGGCTGTAGCTGGCCCTCCACCCAAGCCTCTGTTACACCCTGAAATGTTCTTAGGTCTTTGTCCCCTCAAGGCTGGGGACTGCATGAGGGCAGCCTGGGTCTCCCTGTTCACTCCCATGGCCCCATGCGAGCGGTTCCCAAAGTGCGGTCCTGCTCGGAGACTTGCTGGGGTTCCATGGCAACCTGGACCCCCAAACCGGCTCTGCCTTCTCTCTCAGCCGACCTGGTCTCCAGCTTCCTGCTCATCTCCATGTTGTTCTTCATCAGCCTGAGCCTGCTGGTCGGTGTGATCAAGGTAGGACGGGATGCCGGGGAGCCCTGGCTGCGGTCCTGCCCTCCTGTTCCTTGGGGGAGCCCATCTGTGCCCTAGGGGTCTTCACAGCCTCCTTTGGGACCTCCTTCCCCAGAGGGCTCCTTGGTGTGCTGGTCACTGATAAGGGTGGGGAGGCACTAGCTGGTACCCACATCCTGTCACACTGCCAGCGCAGGCAGGGATTTTGAAAGAGAAAAGTGTAAGGGTGGCTTTGAGGCCTGGGAGAGGAGACAGCAGCAATGGCTTTGTCATCAGGGGTGGGAGCCAAAGCGTCACAGTGCGGCTGCATCCAGCATGGTTCCCAGGGGTCAGCTGGTCCCAAGACCCCAGGGCTCCTCTCTCATTGAGGAACAGTCCATAGAGAGACAGGGAGCCAGTGTGACAGCCTCAGGTCCTGGCCCAAAAGAAGACTGGAGGAGATGGAGGCAGGCCCTCCCTCGGGCCCAGGGAGGCAGGAGGTAGCCTTACCATATTGTCCCCAGGAAAAGTGTTCTGGCCTAGAGTGGGTGACAGTTTGGTGTTGGTTTGGAATGTCTCCACCTTACCCGAAGGCTGTGATTTATCCCTTGATAGCCTACTCTGTCTTGGAACCCAGGCCCCATCCACCTCAACCTCAAGTCCTCATTGCACAGGATGGCTGCAGAGATTCCTGCAGAAAATTGAAGGGTCCTGCTAAGAAAGTGGTGGAGTCCCCACAGACTCTGTTTCAGTTGGGCTGTCCCTGTCACTTCCTGAGTAGTTTTAGTCACCCACACAATATGATAGAAAACCATCCTTTCTTTCTTTTTTTTTTTTTTGTCTTTTTCCTTTTCATCGGTACCAGGGATGGAACTCACGACTGCCTGCTTGCAAGGCAGGCACTTATGCCGCTGAGCTAAATCAAAAAAAAAAAAAAAAAAAAAAAAAGAAAACCATTCTTTCTGTGATTTATCCCCACCTGTGGCTGCATATGCAGGAATATGGGTCACTCTCAGTTGAAGGACTGGACTCCAGCCCTGGGGCTCTTCCTATGACTTCATGCACCCAGCAGTAGTGGACATAGGCAGGTCACTGACAGCAGGGCATCTCCAGCCTGGGCTTGCACTGACCCTTCAGACTCCAGGACCCGGCCCATGCTCTCTGGCCTCTTCCTAGGCACCTTCTTGATGCTACCTGGTGTCCCTTCCCCAGGGTGTCCCCTCTGGTCCTTGTGTCCCTTCCCCAAGTGTCCCTCCTTGTCCCTTCTCTTCTGTATGGTGGGCACGAAGTCCTTCCATGCTGCATTCCTGGGACAAATTGAGCCAGGTCCTTCTTGGAGGGCCCTGATAGATGGGGACAGTCCCTGAGGTCCCCTGAGACACAGAGACCCCTCCCTAATCCCAGGGAGTCACTCAGAGAAGCCTGAGGACACAGGTGTGAGCAGGGGGCTCGGCAGCCAGGGAGGGAAGGGACACAGATGGCGGTGGCCACTGTGACGGTGCGGGCGGGGCCTGCCTTGCAGAATCGGGAGAAGCTGCTGCTGCCCTTCTTGTCCCTGCAAATCATGGACTACCTGCTGTGCCTGCTCACCCTGCTGGGCTCCTACATCGAGCTGCCTGCCTACCTCAAGTTTGCCTCCCGGACTCGGTCTGTGAGTACCAGCAGGCGGGGTGGTGGGGAGCGGAGCAGAGGCCCTGTCCCGTCTGGTGTCCTGAGGCGAGGTCTCCCGGGTGTCCTCCCTGGGCCTTGCCTGTCCATCACCGGTCCTGGAGGGCTCCGAGGGAACCTTTGGAAGCGCCCCTCACTGCAGGCTACCTGGCTCCAGCCCCAGCCCCAGGAAAGACAGCAGAGCTGGCCAGGACTGTGGTGGGGTGGCAGGCAAGGCGTGGTCCCTCTGGAGTCACCTTTCACAAGTGCCTACTGTTGTCCTCGAGTCCCTGGTTCTAGTCCTGGGTCTGCCCCATCCCTGGCTGTGACCACCAAGGCGTCCCTTTCTTTTTTCTTGTTTTTGGTAGACAATTAGGTTTTTAAAAATTATTATTTTATTTCCCACCTTACAAAGCAGTGGTGTCTGCTTAGAACTTTCTGTTTTGTAATTCACGAATGCCAAACCAAAACCAAGTATAATTTTTGTCATATTATCTTTTGATTTGGCATAAAACCAACGTGATCTATAATACTTTGTTCTCATTAACTACAGTGAATAGCGGTACATATATTTTTTCTTTTTCCTTTCTTCCTCTCTCCCCCTCCCCAATTTCCCTTTCCTTTGAATAATTTTTTCCTATTTCGTTTCTTAGTTACACTTTCAGTTCTCATACCACAGAGACAATGCAATATCTATCCATGTGTGTCTGATTTATTTCACTAAGGAGTATAGCCTCAAGGTGCATCCATTTAGTTACAAATGTCTCGAGTGTAGCCTTCTATATGGCAGAGTAGTGCTCCTTTACATAAAAAAGCTGCATCTTTTTTATCCATTCCTCCGCTGATGGCCATTCAGGTTGTTTCTAAGATTTAGCTGTTACTAACTGTGCTGCTTTAAACACGTTGTACATCTGTCGCTATGACCTGATGTTTTTAATTCTTTTTTTTTTTGGACGGGGGATCGAACTCATGACTGCACTTGCAAGGCAGGCACTTATGCCACTGAGCTAAATCCCTAGCTCTATGTTTTTAATTTTTTACCCAGAAGGGAGTAGTTGGGTCAAATGGAACCCCTCTTCCTAGTTCTTTGAGAAACTACACACTGATTTCCACAGTGGTTGCACCAGTCTTCCGCCCACCAACGTGGAGAAGGGTCCTTCTTCCCCACAGCCTTCCAGTACGTGTTATTGGTTGATTTCTAGATACTAGCCATTCTTCGTGGGGTGAGGTGGAATCTCAGTGTTGTTTTAATTTGCAGCTCTCGAATGACTGATGATGTTGAACATTTTCTTCATACACTCATTTTCCGTTTGTTCGTCTTCATCTGAGAAGTGTCTGTTCATTTCGGAGAGGTGTCCCTTTCTGTCTGTGGACAGTGGACTGGAGAGTCACCATGTCCCAGGCCCAGCAGATGTTCCTGCAGTGGCTGGGCCTCCCTCAACCCTCTCCTTTCCTTCTTGTCCTCCCCAGGGCCCTTCCAAGGTCCCCTTGATGACCCTGCAGCTGTTGGACTTCTTCCTCAGCATCCTGACCCTCTGCAGCTCCTACATGGAAGTGCCCACCTATCTCAACTTCAAGTCCATGAACCACATGGTGAGTCTGGGAACAGCCCGGCCGTGCAGCCTTGGGCAAGCTAACTCGCCTCTCGGTGCCCTGGTTCTCAGGCTGGGTTTCCTGGAGGACCAGACTCATGTGAGCGCTTTATTGAGGCAGCACTCTTGGGAAGAATCTTGTAAGGAGTGAGGGAAGCAAGTTCCGGAAGGGGAGGAAGCCCAGTGAGCAAAGGATGGCTTTGGGGGAGCCCCACGTGATCCCAGGGTCCCGGGACTGGAGCCATTTAAGGAGATAATGCTAGTTTTCTTTTTAAATTGTTGCACCAAAACTTGTTATTCCTTGTGGTTTCTGAGGATCAGGGATTAGGAGTGGCTGGCCTGACTCAGTTTCTCTTGAGGCTGCAGCCAAGTTGGGGGGCCACACTTGGGCAAATCCGAGGGGTCTGCACCCAGGTGGCTCCCTGTGTCTGCTGGTGCCTGGCTCCACTTCCTCACATGTGGCCCTTTAGTAGCACTGCTGAGTGTCCCCAGGATATGGTGGCTGGTGCGCCCCCACCCTGAGGATCAATCAAGAGGGGGGTATGGGGGAACAGACAGCAACGCCCCATATGTCCTTGTCTGGGATGTCACTCTTTGTGCCACATGCCTGGGCAGAAGTGAGTCACTAAACCTAGTCACACTCAGAGGTGGGGAAACGAGTTCCATGTTTAGGAGGAAGGAGGGTCCCGGAATCCGTGCACGTATGTGCCAACCACCCCAGAGATTTTCTCCGCAGGGAATCGGTCTGGGTGTGACCTCCCGGAGGTGACAGAACTAAGTGGCTCCTACCGGCCAAGGCTTTCCTTTAGTAACAACACAGGGCATTGCAGGCAGTCAAAGCTACCTGCTGGGTGGTGTCCAGCAGGGGCTAGGACCCCAGAGGCAGCAGGACTCCTGCCTCTTGATGTGACCACCTGCTGGAGGGGGCTGAGGCTCACACCTGCCTCTTAGGGTTGCTGTGGTCAGTGACCTGGGTGATGGCTGTGTCACCTGTGCTCCTGTGGGTGTGGGATGTGGGTTCCTTGTCCTCCACGGCTGGCTGCTGCTGGAGGTCCTTAGGTCAGAGGTGAGGTGGCCGCATCTGTTGCAGAATTACTTCCCGAGCCAGGAGGGCGTGACCCACAGCCGGTTCGTGCAGATGATGCTCATCTTCACCATCGCCTTTATCAGTGTCCTCATCCTGAAGGTAGGTGACCTGCCGTGCCTGACTGTCGGGGAGGGATGTGCGTCCCTAATGTCTCCTGCCCTGCTTTTGTTTTTGTTTATTGGCACCAGCACTGCACATGCTGCTCTGTTGTTTACTTTGAAAAACAACGCATCAGAGGCAGTTTAGAGGAGGACTTTCCCCACTGTCCAGTCTCCGCATGGCCAGGGTCCTCCGCAGTAGTGAGCTCCCATCACCGGAGCTGTCAAGCAGGAGCTTCAGGACTATTGCCCAGGAGCCTGAGGGTGGGAAAGCGCTGGCCCCTGAGGCATCTCCCAGGCTTCTAGGCAGCGAGCAGAGGACCGCAATGCACAGCTGACCCTGTCCCTCCATAGGTCTACATGTTCAAGTGCGTGTGGAGATGCTACCAGTTCATTAAGTACATGAACTCGGCCTCAGAGAGGAGCGACTCCAAGAGTCCCCCGAAGGTGAGCCTGGCTGCTGCCCAATCCCTGCGCCCCCACTATGCCTTCATACTGTGCCACCTGGGGACAAGATGCTTTCCCTCTCTGGGCCTCGGATCCTCTACATTTAAGATGAGAACCTTTAATCACGAACCTTTTCAGCACTGATAGTGGAATACTTCATTCATTCAGCTTTTTCTGTCTCTTGCTCTTTTGGTTCTGTAGCCAATCCTGGGTGCAAAGAGAACCAAGATCCTCCCTTTGCCCTAGAGGAATGTAGAGCCCAGGAGAACCCAGGTGTAGACACCATTGCAGCTTGATGTGAAGCACAGGGACAGAGGAGGCATCTGGGATACCAAGGCAGGCTTCCTCAAGAGGGGATTCTTGCATGGTCAGTGGGCACAGTCAGCCAGGAAAGGGGAAGGGGGCTTCTCAGGGGGAAGACAGGCATGGCTTAGAAGTAGCTGACTGCAAAGCGTGCCTGGTTTAAATGATTTTCCTCATCTGTGACGCGAAGGTTGTATTACGCAGGATATTTTTGGTTGCAAGTAGCGAAGACCTAGCTCTCTCTAACAAGTAAAAGAGAATTTACTTGCTCACAGAGCTTACAAGTCCAGAGTAGATCTGATTCAGGCCTGGCCCAGCCTTGATGGCAGGATATGATCTCCCTCTCCATCTCTTAATTCTGTTTTCCTCATTATCAGTCTCATTCTCTGGCAGCATTTTCCTTATCGTGGCAAACTGACTGCCAAGACCCTCAGCCTGGCACCCTACACTCTTGGCTCCCCTGACATCCAGGGGAGTACATTTGAGCACTGCTGCTGGAGGTCGTAGGTGTCTTTCCCAAACCCACGACTCTAGCCAATGGGATGAAATTCCATTTTGCCTGGCCAGGCTTGGCTCATGTGTCTGCCTCGGGAGCTTTTTTTCCCTCTTGGAGTACTAAGGATTGCACCCAGGACCTTCACACAGACCTACATATCAAGTTCAACTTTTAATTTTTATTGTTTTTATATTTTGAGACAGACTTTCTGTAAGTTGCGTAACTGTCCAGGCTGGGCTTAAATTTGCAGTCCTGGTTCCTTAGAGTGCCAGGGTTACAGGTGTGCACCATTACGCCTGGTGGAACAAATTCTTTTGCAAGCACGTGGGCTGAGATGGGACCCTTAGGGGAAGTGGGGAAAAGTGGGATGGTATGGAAGTGGGGGGACCTCGGCTCTGAGCAGGCAAAGGCAGGACCAGAAGCCACTGTTGCCACCTTCACTACTATGGTTCTACGGGTTGGGCTTCTGGTCTCTGTATTTCCTGCTGGAACTGTCTGTCTGTCCTGCCAGGTGAGGCTCAGCCCTCTCGTCTGTCTCTGTCTTTCCCAGGTGGTCCTGCCGTCCTATGAGGAAGCCATCTCTCTGCCCTCCAAGTCTCCAGTGGGGGGGCCGGCACCGCCGACGTACTCAGAGGTGTGACCTCTGCCGCGCCCCAGCCCTAGTGCCGGGAGGGGCAGAGCTGCCTTGTAATCTGCTTCTTCGCTTTGGGGGCTCCCGTGGCCTGGGAGGCCCACCCGGCTGACTTCAGGACAATCTGCTTGTGTTCCCTCCCTGGCCTGCTCCTTGCACAGGGCTTACAAGATGCTCGAGATGGGGTCAACCTGCTGGTTTCCTTGAGCCCCTCCCAGGTTATTTCCATCAGTTGTACTTCATCAGATGGCTGATCATTTCAAACTGCGAGGCTGGTTACACAACTGTCAGCCTGATCAGTTTCACCAAGCAACTGCCAAATCAAAAAGGCAGATCAGTAAAATAATTTGGCCAAACAACAGTGCTTGGCATTAATTTGTGATTAGTTGTCCGTTCACGAGGGGGTGGCTCAGCCAAGTCATCACCAAGTAGTCACTCCCGCTCCCCTAAATATAGACACATCATGCGTTCTCTTGCTTAAACAATTAGCAATGCGGCCAACCATCTGTTACTGAGGATAGCGATAAATAGAATTATGATAACATTCAATAAAAAACTGAAGTATCTTCCAAACCTTTCATTTCAAACTAGCCCAGCACCTGGCCCCCAGCTCTGCTCCTCGGCTGCCTCCTAGTGGCTGAAGCATTGTGAATTCCTAGGAGTAGATGACAATTGTTACACGGTTGCCGGCTGTCAGCCTGTTACAGGAAGTAACAGTGTCTCCATTCTCAAAAGTCTCTCTACAGGATTGTTTTGCTCAAGCAGTTGGCACCGCCCACAGTCAAACACTGCCCTGGCCGCTCCCTGGCTTGGGCTCAGTGTGGTCATTGTGCTGGATTCCGTGCCAGGGCGAATTCGCCCTGGAAAAACTAAGTGTCAGTCCAGCCCGATGCCAGGCTGCTCATCGTGGAGGTCAGGCAGTGCTGTCCAGGGCTCGCAGCCAGGAAAAATCCCGCCCTGACTCAGGCAGGGCCGTGCTGGAGTGGACCCATGCAGGTCAGGCACATGAAGACAGACACATCCTCTGTGGTTCAGACTCAGGTGTGGGTGTAGGGGTCACAGGGGGAGGTGCTGTCCAAACGCCTCCCTGCGGTGGGGACCTGGCCGCAGCGCAGGTCCTCCGGTCCTCGTCAGGGTGCTGAGAGGCTGCCTGGCTTTGGGAGGCTCTCGCCCACCTCCTGTCATTGCTTTTTGTATGACTGGGAAGGGTTTCAATAAAGCAGCAAGAAGCTTTGTTCTGACTGATGTGGTTCTTGACAGATGGTGTAGGAGGGCCAGGGGCTGCCTTCTCCCTGCCACGCCAACACTTGCACACACACACACACACTCAGCACCACCTCTGCCACCTGGCCAGTGCTTCCCCAGCCCTAAGCCACGGCCTGCTTCTCCCTCAGGGCTTCCTTGTGGCCAGTGAGTGCTAGGATGCAGTACTGAGACAGATTCATGAGTAATTAGAATAGTCTGTGGCTTAGTGCCTCCACAGGGAAAATCTGAGCAATGGGTATAGCAGGGACCAGACAGGACTTCTTGGAGGAGGGGTCCCCAGGCTGTCGGGAAGGGGTGTGAGACTCACATTCCTGAGTCTCCAGTGCCCATGTTGGGTTGCTGAGCTGCTTGTTGAGGGCCTGCCTGAGAACCCAGGGTAGTCTGAGTTGGTATCTGTCGTCAGCACTGTAGGAGCCTGTCGGTGTCACTCCCGGCCGGCAGGAAGGACACACAACAAAGTCTGGCAGTGGACAACCTTTTCTTTTATTTTCCTTCTCCGTACAGCCTGCCCCGGGAATCCTCCCGGCCGAAGCCTCTGTTGGTCCGCTCCCCGCGGCTCCTTGCGTGCTTCTCCCTACAGTCTGTCCCGAAGCCTCTACCGGTCCGCTCTCCGCGGCTCCTTGCGTGCTTCTCCCTACAGTCTGTCCCGAAGCCTCTACCGGTCCGCTCTCCGCGGCTCCTTGCGTGCTTCTCCCTACAGTCTGTCCCGAAGCCTCTACCGGTCCGCTCTCCGCGGCTCCTTGCGTGCTTCTTCTGCTTCTTCTTTTCGTGGCGGGAGAGGCACTCACTTTTATAGGGTTACAGTGGCCAATCAGTTCAAAGCGCGTGATGCGGGCTGATTGGCTAACATCAGTTGTTGCTAGGCAGACTATCTTACAGGGCGGGTTGTGAAGCAGGAGATCTTACAGGGCGGGTTGTTTACCAAGCAGGAAGCAGGAGATCTTACAGGGCGGGTTGTTTACCAAGCAGGAAGCAGGAGATAAGCGCCATCTTAGCACACTCGATGGGAGGGGTAATCTAGCTCAGGCTTTGCTCTTTCCTACAGGCCTCACGTCCGCCAAGTAAGGCGACCGGGCTCGGCCGCGGCTCCCAACAGGAGCCCTGCTAGAGCTTTGAATGCCATGCCAAAGAACAGGGGTCTTTGAAGAGTTGGCCGCCCAAGTAACAAGGTCAGGTTTGGGTTTTGGGAAGGAAGATCTCAAACACAAGGACTGTGACAAGGCTGGTGAAATGACCCTGCAGGGCGGCAGAGGGGCCAGGTGTGAGACTATTGTCACCCTTTTGGTATTGTCTTTGGTTGGTAGACTTCTCCATAGATTTTGTCTGCTCTTGATCAGATCCCCAAGCAATGGATGAAGCATGTCTAACAGAGGTGGAAACCAAGCTCCTGTTCACACAGGAGGGAACAGAGGCCCAGAGATACAAGTGATTCTCCTGAGGCCATATAGCAGGGTTACACTCAGCACCTCGTCTGTTGGGAGGGCTGGCGTCCCAGCCCTATGAGCTTGTAAAGATCAATAGGAAGAGGGATGAAGGTCAGTGTCTGTGTGTCTGTGTGTCTGGGGAGCAGGGGCCCTGAGCTGGCTGAGGACTGTCCTGTTCTTCCCAGGACTGTTTCTCCTCCCCCCAGCCCTGGCCTGGAGCCAGGCAGCAGCCTGAGTTGTGTGGCAGGATTGTGCCCAGGGAGGGGCCAAGCAGCTGGGATGGGGTGGCAGAGGGACAGGAAATAGCTGGGTTTGGGGAAGTCTGTGTGGCCAGCCAAGCCAAGCTCAGCAATTGCCAGGCAGCCTCGGAGGCCGGTCACTGCTGGCTTGAGGCGCACACAGGGGCCTTTGACAGCAGCCCCTGGAGAGGCCCAATGGAGCTGGATGCCCGGAAGTTGCTGGGCGGAGGGAGGGGGTGTGTGGGATGGGTGGGCCAGGGTGCCCAGGGAAAGGAGGCTGCAGAATGAGCCCAGGCTGCTGAGGAGCATAATTGAGGGTTGTGACAGGGACAGGAACATACTTCATGGCCCACCGGCCCTTCGGAGTGTCACCTCCTGAGTCTCCAATGGCCTCATAGGCTAGTGTTATGCTACAGCCAGTCCTGAGGCCTGGGGAAGGGAAGGTGCTGCCTAAAGTCACATTCCCACGCCTGGCTCTGGAGTTCAGGGTGACAGGGATCTCTGGGTGGACAGGACATTGCAACTGGCCACAGAGTATTAGGATCTTGGGCAAGAAGGGACCTCAGGGGCTGCGGGTCCCCTGATTCTGGGTGCAGGCTTCTGCCATGGATGGGGAGCCCCTGCCCTCCTAGCTGGGCTTTCATACCAGGTTGGCTATTATGAGCAGTGGGCAATCCGTCTGCTGCCCACCATGCCAGGAACGACCTGCAGTTGCTGTCATGGGTACAGCAAGTGAGTCACAGAGGAGGAACTGCAACCTGGCATGATGGGTGCTGGGACGAGAGGAACGGGGGCAAGGCAGCTTCCTGGGGAGGAGATTCCTGAGCTGGAGCAGGGATCCAGCCAGGCGTGTCTGGGGGAGGATGTCTGTGCTGGGGAGGACTGGGAGGGCTTGAGGTGGGCAGATGGGGCTGCATGCTTTTTTTTAAAAATTTGTTTGTTTGTCTCTTTGAGTCAGAGTCTCTATGCAGTTCAGGCTGGACTTGAGCTCACTTTGTAGCCCAGGCTGGTCTCGAACTTGCAACGATCCTCCTGCCTCAGCCTCTCGAGTAGGGTTGCATGGTTTAGAGAGGGGTCTTGGAGTACTTGGATCCAACCTCTGCCCAACAGTAGGCCACGCTCTGAACCTCAGTTTTCCAACCTCTAAAATAAGGTTAAAAGGATCCTCTACTTTATGGAATTCCTGAGAAGCAAAAGAATTAAACATATAGATGCTTAGAACAGAGAGCGTGTTCAGTCAGGAGTGTGAAACAGAGCAGAAACCTCCACACTGGTGACTTGGACAGTTTGGGATCTTTTTTTTTTTTTTTCATATATAGCAAGAAATCTAGAAATAGACAGTTATTCATGTAATTTCATCATTTTAAGAATATTAGAGCTGAAATCTCTTAATTTCTCCTCATCTTTTCCTCATGCTCTTAACAGAGTTGCTGCTACTCCCGCCAACGTGACAGTTTTTAAGGCAGGAAGGCAAAATTCTTCCTACGAATGTGGTGCCCTTTCACTCAGCAGCTGCTGTACCTTCCATCGGTCAGTTTGGTCACACGGTGCTGCTAGTTGCAAGAGAGTTTGAGAAACAGCATTTTGTAGGGCAGTGCCTTGATAAACCTTAAATAGCACTTGCTAAATGTGCAGGTAAAGGCATCTGACGGTAGGTCCAGAGCTGAGGATGCATTTAGGAAAGAGAGAAGCAGGGAGCCGGGTGCAGACCCTGCAGGGTCCAAGACACCAGCCTCAAGAGTGTGGTCATGGCCCTGTAAGCTCTGGGCTCTTGAGAGATGGGGGACAGAAGGGCAGTATGATTTCAGAGTTTGGTGATCTCCCTGACGATAATTAGCACCTAGGCCTCGCCACTGCTGAGTCCCTGGGCCGCCCGGAGGGGCTGCTTCCTAAACACGTCAGGGAGAAGGAAGTGACTGCTCATGGGAGCCCTGTGCGCCTCCTGCCGAAAGATGAGAGAGGAGGTACACCGTGGCCCAGGCAGAGGCTGATGGGAAATGGTGCAGGTGAGAGGTCTGGGGTGTAAACTAGGGCACAGAATCAGGAGGGAGGATGCCATGGTGCAGGTAGGTGTCCAGACGGGAAAAGCATTTGGCTGCTGAGGTGCTGTGATGTGGTGTTGTGACTGGGGATTCTGGGGAGACCTGATTCATGTCCAACCAGCACCCAGTGATGTCTCTAAGTTGCAGTGGAATCATTTTAAGTGTCAAGCAAAACAGACCAAAGGAAGCGGGGGAACACCTACCCTCTGGCTGACTTTGGCTCTGGGGGATGGCGGAGCCCTGGCTGTCCCGGATGAAGCAGCCCCCATGGGTGTCTGTGACCACAGGTTCCTGCTTGCCACTGGTTGGTGGGGATCTCTGGTCCAGTGCTCACATTCCAGCCTCTCTCCTAGGACCCAGAAGGGGGTACCCTAGTAGCCACCAAGAGCAACCTGACAGGCAGTAGTTCCCAATGCCAGCCTGGGAGCCACAGCTGGAAATAGAGCCCACATAGGCAGCCAGTTCATTGCCACCCCAGTGACCCAGATGATTCAAGTGGACACTGGCTCAGCTCCCTCTCCCTGTGTGCTTGGCTGGGGTGGGTGGGATGCTTAAGTCAGGGGTGCAGCCTGGCCTTATGTTAGGGAGGGACACATTCTCACCTCTAGTAACCCATGACCTGGACACTATGGCTGTATTCAGCCTGGACTCAGAGAGGACGAGGTCCCTGCAGCCTTACCCACAGGTGTGGCTGAATTCCTGTGGGGTGCTCTGGGAGAAGTGGGGTGTCTGACAGGCCTCAAGGGGGATCAATGGCAGGGACAGGGAAATGTTGGACAGCTGTGCACTTCCTGGCCCTCTGCCTGGGGTTACTACTATGCCAGGCATCTCAGAAGATATGAGGGGAGGCTGTGAGCTGTCCTGGGTGGGACATCCTTACAACAGACGGGGTGGAACAGCTTTGACATTATAGCATTTCTCAGTGGTACAGTGCTCGCCTAGCAGGCACCAGGCCCTGGGTTCCCCAGCACGGACAAGAAAAAAAATCTTCGGTGGCCCACAGCCCCCTTGCCCCTCACAGTGGCTTTCCCTGCGTTGTTGAGATGCACCATGAAGGGGCCTGGGGCGTCCTCCTCAGGGCTACTCTGCAGGAGTGACCACCCAGCCGTGTTTTGGGTGTGTTCCTTAGCATGCAGGCCTTCCCATGCATAGGTGACTTCCCTAACCCAGAATGTGCTGTGTCCTGGTCAGTGCCCTGTCCTTCCCGCTTTGGTACCTGTATGCATCCCCGGGGCAGGTAGAGTTACGGGTGACTTTTAGTGACTGGTGCCCTCTCCTTGAGTGTAGGTAAGGGACAGGGCTCCTGTGACTAGGTTACAGGATGTGGTACAGCTGATTTTCAGAAAGAGATTAACCTGCATGGGCCTGTGCGAATCAGGTGACCCCTTCAAAGGGACAACACTCTTCCTGAAGGAGGCCTCAAAGCAGGAGAGGAACACAAGTGGTCATCTCTGTTTTGAGGCTTAGGGGAAAGAAGCAGGGATTTGGAAATGGGGCAGGGGGAGATCTAGTTTTCTAGCTGGAGGATTAAATACCAGGGTACAGGAGGGTCGAAGGCCACATGCCATAAAGGACAGTGATAGGAAATTAGGTGTTTTTCATTAAGGAAAAGGTGACTCGGTGGGGTAGGGCCATGATCTGGTCCTGCCACACCGGGGCCCAGCTGAGCTCCTAGCTGGATGGAGCTAAGCAGGGTACTGAGCTCTGAGCGCAGGTGCCTCCCCAGATGCAGACCCAGGACAGCCAAGCCTTCCCAGGCTCCCCGAGTGCTGCATCTCTGCATGAGGTGGGGAGCAGTGAGTCAGTTTCAGCAGAACCAATTGGGGGGCTCAGGAAAGCCGAGTCACCAGGGTTGCTGTGCAGCCTGGGAATCTGTATTTCGCTTCTGTGCAAACTTAGCCAGACTTTAGCAACAGTCCGATGGAACAAAAGGAAGTTGTACCCAGCAGGCAACCTGCAAAGGCAGCCAGGTGAGGACTCTGCTCTGAGTCTCGGGTCCCAGCAGGCCAGGCCTCACCAGCAGGGCCCCCGTCTCCCTCCCTCCCCAGAGGCCCCGGATATAGGCTGGAGGTGGAGCAACCTTTCTGGAGCAGCCCTAGCACCGATGTGGGTGCAAGCAATTCCAGGAAACATAGTGGGAGTGGAGAGAGGGAGGCCGAGAAGGGAGACCACATATAGAGGTGTGGGGTGTTTATAAGCACCCCCTCCATGCCCGACAGAGGCCCTCAGAGGAGCCCTGCATCCTGGGGTGGAGGCGGGGAGGCTGGGTATGTGTTCTCAGCTCCCAGTCCTGTTTGGGGGCTCACTCCCCAGCACCCTGCTCACTGTGTGTCCACAGGAACCACCTGACACAGGCGACCTGCACTCAGAGGTGGGCTGCAGGGCCACAGGGCAGACAGCAACCAGCGGGCTGAGCTGAGGATCCCAGGGCCAAACCTATGCCTCCCACCAGTGCTCCCTTCCCCTTCCACAGGGTAAGAGTCACTCAGCGCATAAGATCTGATATGGAACCGGTTCCAATTAAGGAAAAAAATGTACTAGCAGAGGCTGAGGACAGAGTGACTCATCTGGTAGCAGAGAGGAGAGGCGGATGGATGGAGAGAGGCAGGGGAGGTAGGGAAGAGTGAGAAGACCAACAGTGGCCTGAGTGCACGAGTGGCCAGAAGACAGGAAAAGCTTTCAGTGCCACCTAGGTCTGATTTTGGGGGGATATATCTTGCTATGTTGCCCAGGCTGGCCTCAAACTTTTGGGCAAGCCATCCTCCTGCCTCAGCCTCGTAAGCAGCCGGGATCTGTTCCATTATGCCCATCCTAATCCTGAAATCTGATATGGCTATGACACAGGTGGGTGACAGAAGCTGTCAATTCTTGTTAGGTGCCCACATCCCACCCTGGTGACCCAGCAGCCAGACCATGCTCGGTCCTTCTCTGAAAGCTAGGAAGGACACTGTGGTCTGTCTTAACCACGTGGGCAGACACGAGGACATGAGACAGCCATGCAGACTGCTCAGGAGAGGTTATGCAAGGAGGCTCCTGCTGGCTGCTGCATTTCGTCATGGGAGAGAAATGAAGCCCAGCAAAGCCACCGGGTCATGGGGTCATGTTTGTTACTTCCACGTCCCCTCTGCTGATTGGTGCATGAAGGCCTGGGAAGAACAAAACACATCCACTCAGTGTCACCTGCATTTCTTCCCCCAAGCAGCCTGTGACATTAATGTGGGGGCCTGATGTTACAGACTCGAGGAAGTGCAGAAAAGGGAGGGAGATACAGGGGACCCTTGACTTATGAACGCAGAGTAGGTCCCGAGGGCCAGTTGTAGCTTAGATTGTCAACTGGAGGCTCGGGCCTTCGTCATCTCTCTCCTGTACACGGGCAGATCTCAGTGTCCTTAGAGAGACACCGGCCCAGGATTTCTCAGTTAACCCCGTGCAGGACAGGATGTGGTCATGTTCCTTCAAGAACTTTTAGGATTAAGTCTGTATCTGAGACCAAATGAAAGCATAAGCGTCTGGCATTTGGGTCAGGCCTCAAGACTCCTGCCGTAAGTTAAAGCTAAAATTCCTGTCATTACCCAAGTTGTTCATACATCAGGCCAGTCACAACTCGAGAGTCTGCTGCCCCTGGAGTCCTTGTCGCTGGCAGGGGACAGAGGCCAGAATCAATCCGGCTGTCCTCCTGGGAAGTCCTTCCACATCTTAGATGCCTCCTCCTCCCCCGGTGTGCACACTGCAGGCAGATGCAGGAGGACTTTCCTGCTCTGCACAGAAGTTGAATTTAATTAGTTTGGATTTATTTGCATGCTCACCGGAATAAACACTGTAAACGATATCTCAGCCAAGGCATCTCATGGCCATTATGTGCTAGGAGGAGGAGAAATTTTTAAAAAGTAGGTTGTCCCAGAATTAATCGAAGATCTTCGCCTTTAATTAAGTAAATAATACTAGCACAAGGTCACATGGATACAGCCGGGTGAGGGGGGGCACACTGCACGGTGGAAGAGACCCTGACTCCTGCCCAGGAGGCCAGGTCAGCTCTTTAGGAGAACCAGGCTGGGAGCACTGGAGTGGGAGTCCCCTCCCTGCCTGGCGTCCCTCAGGCCATCGCAAAGGCTGTCACTGGCCCAGACACCAAAGCTCTCGGTTTCTGGAAAGCCAGGTGGTGAGAATGGCAGCGCCCCCTGCCCCCCACCTCCAGGGTCGCCCCAGGGACCTGGGCAGCCTGAAGCAGCCCCCCTCCCCCACCTCTCCCACAGGCGTTCCCCTCTGGCTGACACCGGACACTCTGTTCCCAACATTGCGTCCTGGGGGAAAAGGTTTTACATTTTAAAACATACAAATATTGATTTTCTCTCCCCAATGTATAGGCGGAACCTCCAGCCCCATTGTGGCCCCGCTGCGGAATGTGACGGCGGCCTGCGCCCTGGAGGCCAGGCCGGGTCCTGAAAGCCGACCCGCCGCCCGCCCGGAGAGAAGGCGCCTGTGTTCCCCGGCCGCCTCCACAGACCCGCCATTCACACGCGGCTCAAAGGGGGTTTCATGGGCCCCGCGGCCTCCCAGCCAACAGGGCTTTGTACCCTGGCTCGGGAGGGGCGCTGGCCGGGGACCCCGCTCACGTTCCCGCGTCCACCGCGGCCAGGCCGGATTGCTGGCCCCTGTGTGACCTTCGGTGGTTGACAGGAGATCGCGTCCACTTGTCACTGACTCCTTTTCATTCATTTCTTCATTTGATCTGCGGATTCCCAGGGGTGCAGGGGTGACAGAGATGGGTAAGAACCCCGGGAGGAAAGGGGCACATTTGCAACCTGACCTGGGGAAAAGGGGTGCACCACAGTCCCAAGACCCTGCGGCATCTGCAGAGCAGAGAGACAGATCTCCAAGGTGTGAGGGGAACAGGCTTCAGATTTTGGGGGCACCATGAACAGGAGCAAACGAGAATTAAAAAGAGGCAGGGGAGGAAAGGCCCCCTGCCTTTTCACTAACATGGATACATGAGAGAAGGAGGCATGTGCTTCTGGGCCTGACCACTCTTAATCTGGCTGGGCAGCCTCAGCCTATGTTTGGGCCTCAATTTTCCCATCTGACAAATGGGCTAATATACTCCGTTGGATCTGCCGATCTCACAGGTTTGTTGGGAAAACAAAGCAGCCTGAGCGAGTGACTTCACCATGGGGAAGGGATTGCCATTCTTATTGCGGGACACTGAGAACAACTGGCTGGACCTGGGTTTCTTTTCTTTTCCTTTTGGTGATATTGAGACTCGAACCCAGTGCCTTCACACTGAGCTACTTCTCAACACCTTTTCTGTTTTCTATTTTGAGACAGAGTTTCACTAAGTTGCTTGGGCTAGGCTAGAATTTGTGACCCTCCTACCTCGGCCTCCCATAGTACTAGGATTACAACTCCTCTATACCTCAGGTCACCTGAGGAGGCAGGCACTGGAGTCATCCTTCAGTTCCGGGGGACCCTCTGGGCTCAGAGAGGTGAAGTAATTTTCCTGTGGTCGCACAGCAAGTGGTCGTCCTGTTTAGCAAACCCAGAAGATCCGGTGCCCACTTCTGCTCTGCACCAGCTGCCTACCACCTGTGTGCAAAGAGGGTGCAGCTCCGTGCTGGCTGCTGTTGAGGCCTTGAAGGATCGTGCTAGACAGAAAGGATCATGCTAGCAGGCGGAAAGCGTGCTCCAGGCAGGGGGCCTCACACTGCAAAGACCCGGTGACCTTGGGGGAGAGCTGGGGCAGCTGGGGAGGAGAGGCAGGGACAGCCATGCTGCAGAAGGGGAAGCACGTGGCTGAGGATTTGGGATTGGACTTGGGCTGGGGAAGGACTGGGTTGTGGGCCAAGGTACAGGACAGGCTGAGGAGAGGCCACTGCCTTCGATCAAGCGTGGCTGGGTGGCAGCTCCAAGTCTGCACGAGCTCAGCCACCCCGCCCACCGGAGATTTCCTGAATTCCAGCTGCAGCTCTGGTTGCTTCTGTAGGCAAAGGAGCCCTTGTGGCTGGAGGGGCCCCTTGCCGGCCGGGCCAGGGCGGGCGCTTCCTCCCCCCTCGGTACACACACCTCCATTCAGCATGGCCCCGCCCCTGGGCTGTCAGGGGGGGCTGCCTGGCCGGTGAGGTTGATAAGACGGGGGCTGCCGGCCCCCACACCACGCTGGCCACTGCCCGCGCCGCCTTCACCATGAAGGTCATCTCTGGCACCAGCCTGGGGTTCTGTGCCCTGCTGCTGCTGCTCCAGGCCCCACGTGGCCATGGCCTTGTTCCCCAGTCCAGAGGTGAGGGGGCTGCGCATTTTGGGAACACTGGGCCAGAGCTCCCGATGACAGCTGGAGATGGGCAGAGGCCACCTGGGATCCAGGGTGGGGGGCAGGAAGCAGAGGGGCAGCGGGAGGCCAGAGGTCAGGGCAGGCTGTCGGGGACCCAGACTTCGAGAGCAGCTGGGGCTGTGGGCTCAGGGCTGAGTGCTCACTAGGCTCACTCACCACACTTCTTTTCCTTTCTTTTCGGTTTCTTTTTCTTCTCTGGTACTGCTGCTTGAGCCCAGAGCTCAGGGAGGCCCTGTACCCCTGAGCTATCTCCCCAGCCTCCTTGCCCAACTTGGTTTTATTTTGGTGTTGGGAATTGAACCTACAGCCTTCCCACTGCAGCCCTGTTTTAATTTTTTATTTTGAGACAAGGCCTCACTAAATTGCCCAGACTGGGCCAAACTTTTGGTCCTCCTGCCTCAGCCTCCAGAGTGCTGTGACTCCAGGTGTGCATCCCTGCACCTGGCTGTCCTGTCCTTGATGAGTGCAGATTGGGGAAATAAGGGTCCCCTTGCCCATCTGTCCTGCCTGCACCCCATGTTCTTCTGGCATGTCTGCAGTCTTTCTGGGTCTGCAGGGACAATGTACCTCAGGCAGTGGCTTGGGGTACAGCTGGTCTGGCTGTCAAGATGGCCACTAAGGATTGCTGCTGGCGGCTCTCCTTGGGAGACCTGAGTTAGCTGGCTCCACCAGGTCCCGGGGAGCTGTCTCCACTCTGCCTATTTACCTTACCATCAACATGGGCATCACAGGGGCCACCACGGCTGTGCCCACCACTTCCCTCCCTCCCCACCCTGCTGAGCCTACAGCTGCCCTGCATTCTGGGCAGCAGAACTGGCCTGAAACGTGAAAAGTATGTTTTGAAGGCTGTCCCTGTACTCACGTGCTGGCCTCCTCCGTGCCCGCCCGCTCATCCTCAAAGGCTTTTATAAGGGATGGGTTGTCAGGCACAAAAGAGGAAACTGAGGCTCGGGGGAAGAGGTGCCCTAGGGTGGTGGGGACACTGTCTTCCCACAGGCCAAGCTGCAGCCTTCGCAAACCCCTTGGTGGTATGTATACGCTGACCCATGGACACCACTGAAGTCCACGGTCCCCGGCCTGAGGACTCAGAAGCCTGATCTCGGACCTCAGCTCCCACTTTTTACCTTCTCCCCCCTCCCAGGGCACCTCTGTCGGACGCGGCCCACGGACCTGGTGTTTGTTGTGGACAGTTCTCGGAGCGTGCGGCCGGTGGAGTTTGAGAAGGTGAAGGTGTTCCTGTCTCAGGTCATTGAGTCGCTGGATGTGGGGCCCAATGCTACCCAGGTGGGCCTGGTCAACTACGCCAGCTCCGTGAAACAGGAGTTCCCGCTGCGCGCCCACAGCTCCAAGGCCGCGCTGCTTCAGGCCGTGCACCGCATTCAGCCTCTGTCCACGGGCACCATGACCGGCCTGGCCCTCCAGTTCGCCATCACCAGGACCCTCAGCGATGCCGAGGGTGGTCGCACCAGGTCCCCTGACATCAGCAAGGTGGGTGTGCACCAGCCCGGTGCAGGGGAGAGGAGGCCGCTCCAGAGCTAGGGGAACTGAGGGCCCAGGGGGAGGTCAGCAGGCACAGGTCCAGCTGGGAGTGGCAGAGCTGCCCTGGGACCTGCCTTGTGCCCTGAGGACTGGAGCTGCCCCCTGGGGGAGCTTGCGGTCATTTCCTTTCTACTCTGTGGTCAGTCCAAGTCCTGGTGGATCACGCCAGGCAGGTGCTTATGTGACAGGGAAAGCACGGCCCTGCTCTCTTTCCATCTGGGCTCAAGCCACTCCTCCACATTGCCACTGAGTGTGTTACTTCATCCCACGGTGCCTCAGTTTCCCTATCTGTGAAACACCTGGCCAGCAGATGATCTGACGGCCAAGGGCATTTGAATCATGTGCTCAGAGCAAATGTGACACACAGCAGGCCCTCTGTGCGTCAGTCCAGGTTGACAAAATCCCCTGAGCACAGCTCTACATCCATGTGGGCACTGTGTCAGGGCTCAGCGCAGGGCCTGCAAGGCCAGCCCAGATTCCTTCCCACAGCTACCAGCACCTCCTCATAGCAGGGCCCGTCCAGGTCCTGGGCACGGTTTCCCTTTTATTCTTCTCTGGCCATAGAGAGGGTTTATCCCTGTTTCACAGGTAGGGAAGCTGAGGCACAGCTCAGTAGCCGACTTGCTGGTTTTCCATCATGGGGCCACTTGGGATTCCTGCATGAGGTGCTGTGGCTGAGACCGACGGTCACGGCCCAGAGGATGCCATGGCTGTGAAGATGATGGCAGGGACCCTGCAGCTGCACAGCTCCAGGCTTAAGGCCTGGGGCAGGCGAGGGAGGGTGGTGCTCCTCCAGCAGGGGACGCAGAGGCACAGGAACCTGCACCAGGAGGAGGTGTTCTGCCTGGAAGCCCCTGCTCGCAGATCCGAGGTAGAGGGAAGGTCTCAAGGCTGGGTGCAGCTTGAAGAGACAGCAGGCCTTGGAGAGTGTGGCAGCGTGTGGCAGGGAGGAGTCACAGTTGGGTTTTCGGTACCGGGAGCCTGGATGCTTGTTGGGGAGGAAATTGCAGGTCATCCCTCCCCCTGGTCCCAGGGTAACGGTGCTGGAATGACAATTGTGGCTTCCTGGTTCCTCATCATGAAGGGTCTCACTTGGCCAACCACAAACCCTTTTCACAGATGGAGAAACTGAGGCTCTGGAAGGTGGAGGTGTGTTTCTGCCAGCCTGTCCTAACCACTCTACCACAGAGCTCTAGGACAGGGCTCAGGCCAGGACCCAGAGCAGGGCCCAGCAGCAGGCAGCCCAGGAGCTGGGGGGCAGCCCAGGAGCTGGGGCCCCCCAGGCTGGGCAGAATTGTGCAGACCCTGGTGAGGCCAAAGAAAGGTGTGTGCACATGCGTGTGAGCCTGCCTCCTTGCAAACACATTCTTCTCCTCTCTGGGAGAGGCATCACCATCCTGGGGAGTGGAAGAAGAAAAGGGCGCATCTTCCCTCCCCAGCTGGTTCCTTGTAAGGTTGGCGCTTCCTGGTGCACAGAGACGGATGCTGCCTGCCTGGAGGAAGCGGCCCATTCATTATCCTCGGCCGCCATCTGGCGGCTACATTGCAGAATGCACGGTGTTGAAGCCTTCGCTTGGCCACAATAGGGAGTGACCGGGCCTCGAAGCCTGGGGATTCTGTCCACGCTGAGCCACAGAGTCGAGGGGCAAGGTCCAGCCGGGCGTGACTGTCAGTGACCTTAGGGCTGTCGATCTGCCTGGGAGGAGATGTTCGAGGCCCCAGTCAGGTGGCACCACCCGAGCCGGTCTCCTCCCTGGGGTCAGCTCCTGTGTGGCCCTGCGCTGTCAGTTTGGCTCTTCTTCTGTCAGGGCTTCTGGCTGGGCCCGCGCGGGGAAGGGAGGGCTGCTCCTCACCGGGCCCCCGTGTCCCAGGTGGTCATTGTGGTGACGGACGGGAGGCCCCAGGACAGCGTGCAGGAAGTGTCGGCACGGGCGCGGGCCAGCGGCATCGAGCTGTTCGCCATCGGTGTGGGCCGCGTGGACAAGGCCACGCTGCGGCAGATGGCCAGCGAGCCGCAGGATGAACACGTGGACTACGTGGAGAGCTACAGCGTCATCGATAAGCTGTCCAAGAAGTTCCAGGAGGCCTTCTGTGGTGCGTGGGGCAAGGCCGAGGTGGGGCAAGGCCGAGTGGGCGGGGCCTAGGTGGGGCAAGGTAGGGCGGGGCTTAGGCGGGAGGGGCGGGGCTTAGGTGGGGGTGGGGCGGGGCTTAAGTGGGGCGGGGTGGGGTGGGATCCTTCCATTTGTGAAATGCGTCTAAGGAGAACAGGGCCCTTGCTGTGAGGGTTAATAAGATAAGGTACAGTGCACTGCTCAGTGCATAAAGATGAAAACATTCTTATTGTGGTTCTACATGCTGTGTTCAATGCCATGTGCTTTGTGGCGTGCGGCAGTGAACAGAACAGACCAAGAAAGCTTTTCCTGTGGCCTTTTCTTTTTTTCGAGGGCCTTTGTTTTGATCACGAACGTTCTCAGCTCCTTCAGGGAGTTTGGTCCCGATGCAGAGATTCCTTCCTGGGCTGAGACTTCAGCTGGTGTGTGTGTGGGGTCTCGGTTCCCCTGAGTGTGTGAGGAGCTCTGGTCTCCTGATCGGGGAGGGAGACGTCCAAAGACTTCTTTCTGTGAGATCTGAGCCTCCCTTATGTCCCCCAGTGGTGTCAGACCTGTGTGCCACGGGGGACCACGACTGTGAGCAGGTGTGCCTCAGCTCCCCGGGCTCCTACACCTGCGCCTGCCACGAGGGCTTCACCCTGAACAGTGACGGCAAAAGCTGCAATGGTTAGAGGGCTGGAGGGCTGTGACCCTGGGGAGGGGGGAGGGAAGTGGTGGGCTGAGGCTGCCCCCCAGGGAACTTGGCCAGTGCGGCGCACTTTGGTGCCTTAGAGTTTGGTGCCTGCACATGGCTCTTTCCTAACTTGTGTCCCTCTCTTGATCCCACTGGGTGTTAGGTTTAGTGTGGTGGAAACAAGTCACATAGTCTTAAGCTCACCTCTCAGTGCCACCACCGCTGGGCTGTGTGATCTGTCAGATGTTCCAATGCTGTATGGTAAGCCCGTAGTCCTGGCTTTAGAGAGAGGACTCTGAAGATAAAAACAGATGATCCCCTCCCCAGAGAGCGTGTGGCAGGTGCCAGCCATAGGCGGGACCCATGACTCTGTCTTTATCTTCATGGCTTTGTCCCCTCTCCAGTCTGCAGTAATGGCAGTGGCAGCTCGGCCACTGACCTGGTCTTCCTCATCGATGGATCCAAGAGTGTGCGGCCAGAGAATTTTGAGCTGGTGAAGAAATTCATCAACCAGATCGTGGACACGCTGGACGTGTCGGACAGGCTGGCCCAGGTGGGGCTGGTGCAGTACTCCAGCTCTGTGCGCCAGGAGTTCCCACTGGGCCGCTTCCACACCAAGAAGGACATCAAGGCGGCTGTGCGGAACATGTCCTACATGGAGAAGGGCACCATGACTGGGGCTGCCCTCAAGTATCTGATTGACAACTCCTTCACGGTCTCCAGCGGTGCCAGGCCTGGTGCCCAGAAGGTGGGCATTGTCTTTACAGATGGCCGGAGCCAGGACTACATCAATGATGCTGCCAGGAAGGCCAAGGATCTTGGTAGGTGTTGCCTGGCTGGACCCTGGATGCCACTGATAGGGGCACACATGGTTTACCTGGGTGTCTTCTGATTAGTGCCCTTAGCCCAGCTAAATTTAAATGAAAAGGAACTTGTGAGCCAGCTCGCTCTTACAGGGATGACAGAACTGAAGCCCTAGAGGAGTGAATGGCTTGTCTTTGTGGTTTTTCTGTGGGGAAGGTTTGAAACTTTTCCCGCTGAACATTTATCCTAAGCAAGCCACAGTCATTGCAATGCAGCCCCACTCAGGAACAGGCTGAACTGCCATTTTATCACCTGTGAAATGAGGAAAGTAAAAACCATTAGATGGGTTTGAAATGAAGCTCCTGGTACAGTTTTACACATAGTAGAACCTCAGTAAGTACTGGGTTCTCCTTGGTCTCCGTCCAGGCATTTCCCCTGTAATTCCAGCAGCTGCCACCAGGAGGTGTCTGCCGTTGGCTGCTAGGTGGTTCCCTGGGGGCCCTGACGTCCTTGTAGCTAGTCTTCCTGTCTTCTGCCTCTGGCAGGGTTTAAGATGTTTGCCGTGGGTGTGGGCAATGCTGTGGAAGATGAGCTGCGGGAAATCGCCTCAGAGCCCGTGACAGAGCACTACTTCTACTCAGCTGATTTCAAGACCATCAACCAGATTGGCAAGAAATTACAGAGGAAAATCTGCGTGGGTGAGTAGGCTGGGGCATCAGTGGGAGGGCAGGTGGGCTTTAATGTGTGTGTGGAGGTCACAGCCATCCCTGAACTGGGTGTGGGTGGGGAGGGCAGGGGCAGATTGGAGTCAAAAGCTGGCAGTGCCAGGAAGTGGCTGGATGGGACGACTTCTGTTCCCAGAAGACGTATATCAAACACTCTCCTCAGCAATGGCACTGATCTCAGCGCTATCCACATCCGCCATCGCTTTTCTTGCTTGGAAGGAAGATCATTGCTCTCGTATTTTAAACAGGGGAACCAAGGGTGGCCAGGAAGGGGTGGCATGACTGTTCATAACAGGGGAGCCAGGCTGAAGCCCTGCCATGTCCCCTGTCCCCCTGGTGCCCTGGCCAACTGGTCCAGGTGGAACATCTTCTGGGCTCCAGAGCTACCATGGTGGAGTTTGCATCTTGCTCTGACACTGAAGGCCATGGGACCTCTTTTCAGTCTTGGATTCTTCACTTGTAAAACGGAACTGATGACATCAAACCCAGAGGAGTGGTGTGAAGAGTCATTGCAGTAACACAGAGGCCTGAGCCGTGCCCAGCACGCAGTAGGTGCTCAGCACAGGAGCTGTTACTGTAGTTCCTTGTCGGGCTCTGAGGAACCGGGAAGACTTCCAGGGTCACCTCTCTGTCATTCCCTGGAGTGCAGCCTTTCGGCTGTCCACTCTCTGTCCTCTGCCCTCCCAGATACCCTGGGCTCCTCACCTCCTCGGTGTCCCTAGTGCTGGCCCTGAGAGGTGACCCAGCCCTCATCCCTGCAGCCGCTCAACAGCTTCCTGCCCTTTCCCACTTCTTGTCTACGCAGAGGAAGACCCGTGTGCCTGTGAGTCCATCGTGAAATTCCAGGCCAAAGTGGAAGGTCTGCTGCAGGCTCTGGCCAGGAAACATATCCTTTTCCAGGAGCTGGGCTGGGAGTGCAGGAGGAGTAAGCTGGGCATTGTGGGGTCAGGTTGGGACAGGGTCCTCCCTGCCTGAAACCTGATGAAGGAGATCTAGATTCTGCCAGAGGGGTAGGCACCACCCTTGGTATGGTATCAATTCGGAAGTTCCTAGAGGGTCCTCAGAGAAACTGAGGCAGGGCTGAGCTGTAGGTATGGGATGCACACAGACTCTGGAGACATTCAGGAAACATGGTTCTTCAAGGACTCCCCACTTCTTAGGCTCACAGTGACACCCTGAACACCAGCCTCATTTAGAGATGTTTTGGACCCAGACTAGACTTGGTGGGGACCTGCAGGGCTGAGCCAGCCACTGAGAGCGAGGGTACCCCAGGGTTCACGATCGCTGGCTGTAGTTTGGGAAAGCACCATTCTGAGCAGCCTGAGTGGGTGAGTTTCAATGACAGGAGGATACAGGGTGGTGTGGAGTGGGGAGGAGAAAGCCCAGGAAGTAGGGCTGACAGGAACAGTAAGTGGGTGCTTTTCCTTAACTTGGCCTCCACTTGAGGCTGTGAGTAAGCGGTTGGCCATCTTGGAGAACAGAATCGTCTAAGGCCAAGCGTGCCTCGGAGTCCTGCATGTGTCCCCGGAGCCCCGGTTTAGTCTAGCTTTGCCATTTTAGGGAGGCCTCCCCAGCTTCCGCCCCTGGGCGGCGGGGGCAGGTGGGGGCTGTCTGCATGTCTTGTCAGAGGCGTGCTGCATTGGCGGCTGTGTGAGGAGGAATGCGTGTGCACCAGTGAGAACACAGCGGGGACCGGGAGAAAGACTGTGTTTGCATTTTTGTCCAACCAGAAGCTTAATATATTCCTATATTTTTTTTTTAGTTGATCCTTTCCTGACTCCAAGTGCTGTGAATTTCTCTCTGATTTCTCTGTTCCCTGATGAAAACCAATTAAATGTGATTTAACTTAAGCACTGAACGGGGCCAGGAGCAGTGTGGTTGTGGGTGGGGAGTGCAGGAGGGTGGTGGATGACTGGGTCATTGTAGGGATGGAAACAGAGGGGATCATGGTGACCAGGACCACACCCAAACCAGCTCCTGTCTTCCCTTCCTTTTCAGTTATAAACTCATTTACATGTCGCACTTCATCCTCCCAATGTGCTCACCACCCCTGTTCCACATATGGGGAGGCCAAGTGTCTGCTGACCCAGCAGTGGGTCAGGGGCAGAGGCAGGCCTTGAATCAGGGACTGTTGGGCATCAAAAGTGAAAGGGGACAGAGAGAAAGGGCAAAGGCATACATCGGACTCCTCTGTTCACACTTTCCTCATTCATTCATTCAGTTATCAAATGCTCACAGAAAAGCCAGAGGCGCTGCCTTAGGGATGCACAGGGGACGAGGGGCTCTCATAACCCCCTCGCCCAGCTGGAGAAGAGGGTGTGCTTAGGCGTTGTCCAGGCTCTGTGCCTCTGCTGGGCTCTGGGAGCTCCGGGAGACAGAATGTGAGTGTGGGTGTGAGCAAGATGACAGCCTTGAGTCTGGCTGTCAGGGGCCCCTGCCCTTCTGCCACGCCCCCTGGAGTCCTCTCCATTTCTTGGTACATTGCAAACTTCACCCCACAGACAAGGCAGAGCAGCCCCAGCACTTCAGGGACTGCACAGGGAGAGTCCAGACTCCCAGCTTCTTGGCCCCACCCTGCTGGGCTCCGCCAGCCACACGGAGACCCCAGCTGCTTCCCCGGACCTTGACAGCGGTGAGCTCTATTCTCCATGGCTCACCTCTCAGAGCGGGAGCTGTTGTGATTTTCTGAACTCATTCTTGTTTAATGGAGCGTTTTAGTGTTACTACTGGATTCACACTCGAGAGCACGTAAAACGCTTTTACAAGAAGCTCAGACCATCCCGAAAGAGCTTCCTTGAAGGCAGTTTAAGGAGGCAGAAAAACAACAGTAACCGCACTCCAGAGCCACAGCAGTTAACAGCACAGACACACAGGAGCAGCCTTCCGGTGACACAGCCACCCTAGCCCTGTGGCTCCACCACCACGTTGCACAGTGCTCATGAAACACTTTCTCTGTGCCGGGTCCTGGGTTAGGGATTTTTCTGCGGTCTCAGGAGGCTCCTTGTCACAGTCTCCATGTGGTCATTGATCAGCTCATGCTTACTTTCTTCTGAGACTCGCCTGCCCCCTACCTGTTGGGGCGAGGAGCATCAGCGTCAATGCTGTGTAAGCATGGTTCCTGGCCTCCAATGATTGGCCAGTGGGTGAACACCTGACCCAAGTTGGACCAATCAGAGCCCCTCTCTTGAAACATGGCCCTGGAAACCTTAGTTTCTTGACTTGGTGGTGCAGGAGTTGGGGAGACTTCCATCTTTTTCTAGGTACCCTGAAAGGCAAAGATCAGAGGCTGCTCTCCTCACATAACAGAGAAACAGCATTTGCATTCAGTCCAAGGATGTTTCACTTAGTTGTTGCAGTGTAACACACAGTTCCCATGCTTAGTGGCTCAGAATGGCCCTTTTTTATTGTCATGATTTAATGGGTTGACTGGGCTCAGCTGGTAGCTTTTCTGTTGCTAGGCGCCTTGGCTAGTGCTGCAGGTATCTAGTTCACAACTGCCTGGTGGCTTGGTAGAGATGACTGAAAGTCTGGGCCTTTCTATTTCTGCACATGCTCTGCAGCGGGGAAAATGCACTTTTCGTGTAGTGGCTCAGGGCTTTCAAAAGCTTCCTAGGACGGAGGACCCAAATCGGCATGACACTGCATCTGATTGGGCAGAGCAGTTTCTTGCCAGCTCCAATTAAAGGACCAGGGAGATAATCATCAGCTCTGCAGGGGAGGAGAGTGACAAAGAATTTCCTGCCACAGGGGGTCATTCACTGATCTCTTTGTTGGACCTGTCTGTACCCTTTGCCCAGAGGCACTTTATGTAGTAGCTTTGTGTATCATTAGAACAAAACACCTGACTTTTTTTTTCAAGATAGGTTCTTGTTATGTAGCCCAGGATGGCTTTGAACTCACAGTGATCCTTCTGCCTCAGCCTCCTGAGTGCTAGAATTACAGGCATATGCTACCATCCTGGTAACACTGTGACACCTGAATTTGAGATAGGTAAGTCCACAACATTGGAGGTCCAAGTCCAAGATGATGAACTTGTCGGTGTGGGCAGGTGTGGAAATAAAGGGTTAAGTCTCAAACCTGGGGGGGGGCAGGGAGACAGAAAGAGAAGATACAGAGAGAGAGAGAGAGAGAGAGAGAGAGAGAGAGAGAGAGAGAGGAGTCTGAACCCTTTAAAGGCTATGCCCCCAATGACCCGAGGACCCCACTCCCCCAAGCCCTATCCCCTAAGGGTCCTACCATCTCCCAGTGGCACTATTCTGGGGACAAGCTCTGAACTATAGGCTTTTGCAGGACACTCTGGCCTATACCCAAACCCTCACACCAAGAATCCTTGTCAGCACTCACACTTGGTCAGGTAGGTTTCTGCTCTCCAAGGCGCGAGAACTCTGGCTGAAAGGTCCTTTTCCACTTCCATCTCCTTGCATCTGTGTGGTGGCCTTAGAGTCTTGGTTCTCCCCCTTCAGCTCTGGGAGGTGATCAGCTCATCCTGGTCCTAGGCTCTGCACCACTCTGCCACCCAGTGGCTTGGCAGGGTCCTGCGGCTCTCAGAGCTCCAGCTAGGACATGGGACACAGGGTTACCTCCTGGCTTGCTGAAGACATAAGGAAGAGCAGGCCTCTTCTCTCTGCTTCTGAGTGGAGCTGGATCACTGCAGTCATGTGAGTGGCTTCCTGGCCTTGGGAGCATAGCCACACTTAATTTCCTGAAACTCCTTCAAGATGCAGTGGACACCTGATCTGAAATGTCCACTCCAGAGTGCACACTGTGAAGTTTACAACTCTTATGCCCCTCAACAGGGAACTCAGCCCACCAGGATCTTGAGGATGGACACTGAGCCTCCAGTCTGTCTAGGAGGTGGAGGCTGAGACAGCCTTGTCTCCCATGATGCTTTGCTCTGAGCATCTATGGCCTGAGAGTGCCAGGGCTAGGGAGGATGGAGCTGTGTGCACATGAGCTTCCAGAACAGCAGGTGTTTGTGTCACTCAGTCAAGCAACACACATTTGTAGCACACCTGTGCCAGGTCCTCATCTAGGCACTGAACAGAGAACAAAGACAGGGAAGTCCCTGTCTTCCTGGGCTGACATTCTGTCCACACTCTACTTACACTGGGCTGTGTGAGCCTGGACCTGTCATTTCGTGTCCCGTGGGCCTTATTTCCTCCTCTGTTACATGGAGGGATGCTCCAGAAAGGAGGAAAAATCTCCAAGGGGGAACAGGGTGACCTTTCAAGGATCCTAAGCTCTCAGTTGTAAGATAAATCAAGGATATAAGGGCCCAGGAGCCACTGCCTGGGCTGGCAGGGAGTGGCTGCCAGGCTGTGAATTTGCAGATGCCCCAAGCGGAGGGGATCTGCTGGAGGGGTTAGAAGCCCTCTGTGCTGGGAAGGAACCCCCCAGAGTTTCGAGTTGGACAGACTCCTTCACCCTCGGACCCCAGCTTCCTCACCAGTAAACAGAGGCAGTGCATCATCCTCCCAGTGTGGTTGTGCCCAGGCCTGCCAGGAAGCCATGGGCTGGGTGTGCATGTGACAGGTCCTGCTAAGCTCTGTGGAGGAAACAGCACAGGCAGATTTGCAAGGAGGGGGCTGGAGGGGCCCTCGAGGCTGCCCAAAGCCCTCCAGGGTCATCTGGATCAGGAGGTGTGATGGGGGAAGATGGGAGCTGAAAAGAGCTGGGGCTGGGGCTGGGGCTGGGTGGGGCCAGCAGGGAAGGGGGGATTGGCAGCTTTGGGGTGGGCGTGGCTTGCTGCTTTGTTCTCTTAGCTCATTCATTCATTCTTTTTTTTTTTTTTTTAGGTACCGGGGATGGAACTCACGACCTGGTGCTTATGCCACTGAGCTAAATTCCTGACCCCATTCATTCATTCTTGCATTCATTGCCCAAGACAGTGTAGACACCAGTTACACGGGAAATGCCTTGTGGTTCTGGCTTCCTTGTGCTGGTGGGGCAGGGGGAAGACAGACATCAAGGAAGAAGAGAATCCATCTGGGATTGAGGATGGAGGGTCTGAAATGGACCTGAAGGCTGTCCCAAGGGAGCAGGAGAGCAGCTGGAATGTGCTGAGCAGGAGAAACTTGTGGAGCCCCTGAGGCAAAAAAGCCTGAGGCTCTGGACAGAGCTTTGTGTGGCCCAGAGGACCAGGAGCTGGGAGGAGGCAGGCGATCACATCACAAGGGACTGTGATGTTGGCCTTTGACTTTTATTTTTAAAGGAGTTTGGGCTTGTTTTGGAGGGTGGCACCAGGCCCTGTTTTAAGCAAGGGATGTGACCAGATTCCCCCAGTATAGGAGGCCACAACCAGAGGGCAGGGACACATCCACCAGGGCGGTGCTTTTGAGGCTGTGAGTGCTGTCAGGGCGAAGAGACTCATAAGTAAGTGCAGGATTTGGGACTCCTGGGTTTGCTGGTCACTAAGGGCCCCTGCACCCATCACCTGGCAGAGTTCAACGTTGCTGCTGGAACAGTGAGTGCCATTCTGAGGCCCATGGTGGATGCAAAGGCAGTCCCAGGAGGGGCTGGGGGCAGAGGTAGGGGAGGCCACAGCTCCACAGCACCCAGGTGGTGGGTCAGAGGCTGAGGGCGGCTTCCTGCTGACTTGACTGGGCCTGGATGAGCTGAGCAGGAATGGGAATCTGGGGCAGGAGGAGGAGTGCAAGGCACAGAGCAGAGGTACGGCCAGCTCAACCACCCAGGGACTGACCACAGACGCCAGGGTCTCTGAGGTTGCGCAGGGCCCTGCGTGGCATGTGGTAGAAACTCCATAGCAACCAGAATAGGCACAGGAAAGCAACTGACGGGGCCTTGTGACCACAGGTGCTGGTCTCAGGATGTCTCTAGGCCTTAGTTTCTC